CAGCAGCAGACGTGCACTGAATATGTACTGCTTGCCTCCTGGCATACTAATAACTAGAGGAGCTATGAGTGGGAGAAGTCTCACATTGACTTAAAGACAGTGAAAAAAAAGTTCACTGAGAAAGATCAGTTCTCTTTTTTTTCTGCCCAGAATTGCAACATGTTCAAGTCTCAAATGCTAAGTACCCATTCTGGTGAAGAGATTTCCCCCATGAGTAACACAGAGATTTCACTCTCACTGTACCACTTCTCTTAACTATCTTACAAACTTCTTGCTGCATAGAGCATTCCCTCACCCATCCTAATCACGTAAAACTCTGCTCCCCAAAACACCTTACTTCATTAAGTGAAAGGAAAATTTGTCACTGATTTCAATGGAGGCATAATCTCATCCTAGGGAACTTCAGATTTTAACATCTTCTACCCTAGAGCAGAGAGCTAATCCGTTTCCAGATGTATCACCTGAGTCTATATTACTTAAATCGAAAGTATCAAATCTGATTCAATCCATTTACATGGAACTAGAGTAGTAAGAGCCATGAGTAGCTTACTAAGATGAAGTCAAAGTTTTTGGCCACAATATTGAATAACTTCCCCGAAGAAGCCAGTCTAGTCCAAATAATCCCCACTACTCCTGGCTGAGTAAAGTTCTTTAAGTCTCCTGAGTCCCACAGCAACAGAGAATCATTGTAATTCAGAAAGGGAAATACTTTCCTGGAGTCATAGAAAAGCTAACTAGACACTCCTCTAACTAAGGGCAGAGTCTTGGCCACTCAACTATTACTATGTGGTGATCAGGGCCCTGGTAATGTTCTTCTTGGAAGTCTCCATCAGCATATTAAATGCTTCCAAACTGCCTTACACAGGGGTAGGTTCTTATTACTCTCATGTCACAAAAACACAAAACATCCCCAAGGTACCAGAAAAACCATACAAACATCCTGAAATTCCAATTCTCAATGACTCTGTGGAAAATATTTAAAACACCCCTGACCAGAAAGCTTTATTACTATATAACCCTTCTCAATTCTCTGCTTCAATAAACCACACTTCATAAATCATCCAGAAAATATGGGTCAAGCCGTGTGTGAATGGACAACAGGGGTTTCTTATGCAAGAAACCCCTACAGAAAAAGCACAGGTGTTCTGATGGCCATTCTGTCCATGGCAGTGTGGACTCTCTCTTGCGCAAAAACTTTTTACAGAAGATCTCTTCCACAAAAAGTTCGTGCACAAGAAACCTGCAGTGTAGACATGGGAGATGACAATTAGATCCATAATCAATTTTTTTAGAGAAGCTAAACTGCCCATTTCAAAACTGGCAATCTGAAGTCTATCACAACTAAATGAGTGCATGGAAAACCCAAACTCAATGTTAGTAAAGCATAAAAGATTACAGGGAGTTTCAGCAGGGTGCAACCTAAGGCTTGCAGCTAGGTATAGAGACCTATATCTTACTGGTACAAAGCAAGACTAATAGACAGACAAACTCTAGCTAATAATAATGTCAATCTTATCTTTTCCTTTAATTTAGAATCAGATTTATTTTTGGAATTCAATTTACAATTAATTTTTCCACTTTCTTTCTTCTACTTATTCTGTTAATAAATATACAAATATATCATGGGTACTCTGCACAAAAAAAAAAGAAAAAGAAATAGAAATAGAAAAAAAAAAGACCCCAAGCAATAAAACCCCACCTAAATATGAACAATTGTTATATTACATGCATGAAATGATAATCTAGTTTTGAAACTACAATGCAAATTAATAACACATAGGACACATGACATGATACTTTAGCATATATAAAATAATGGCACTGCTTCTGTATGAGAGACTGCATGCCATTTATTAAACAACAACAACAACAACAACAACAAAAACTCCCAAGAAGTCAAGTGAGGATGCCATTGCCATATTACATGTGGCATGTGAAATAGAAAAATCTAGGAAGGAGATGGCAGATTTTCCCATTAAGTATTTGAATAGGTATACTCCTGTTTAAAATCAAGAATTCCGATGTGTAACATGCTGAAACCTGTATTTTAAGTCTTTGCTCCAAGGCAACCAAGTATTTGCTTTGCACAGAGGCCTATGTTCAGCTAGCATTCAGGAAGTGAATAGGTCTTGTTCTGGTCCTCTGCTTTGATCAAATTTTATGCACTGTGCCTATTTAAATGCATCCTTCCAAAGACCATTTTGATTTACAATGGCTTATGAGAAATACTGTCAAAAACTACTTCTGGAATGAAAATGCCTGAAGGATACAAATATGGCACAGCATAACTCAGTTATGTATGTTCATGATGGGATGAGATTGTTGACAGTAGACCATATTTACTGATGTCGTAAACAGGGTACAAAACCATTGACTTCTAAGCATATGATTATAAGCAGCTCATGAGCATCTACATGTGGCTTTCTGTTTGTGAAATAACCCTGTTCGGTGGGCTAGCACATGTGCCACTTCAGTGGTCAAAATAAGACAAGTCATTCTTGTGCTGGCCCCTCTTGCACAGCGGGATTTTAATCCATGGCAATATGCCTGAGAAATGTCACCAAGTTACAGTAAGTTATTAAACAAATGCTTATGGAGAGCCGCTAAATACCTACATTGAGAAACACAACTCAGCAATCTAACACATTGTGGTATGAATAAAACACAATTAGAGAATTCTAGCTGAAATTTTAACTGCTGAAATTTCTTTAAAAAGGAAATTAAAAGAATGAGTTTAATGGAGTACTTCTATGTTTATTAAGAATCCATGGTCAATGAATGGGACTGTTTTGCTTAACCGACTAAATATCCCATCCCATGCTGCATATGGTCCTCATTGATTATAATTACCTAATGAACTGTTTTCATTTTGATTTTTCCTTAAAGTGAAGTTGGACAGAATGTTGCTGGTAATTCAATTTCTTACTTATAATGTACAATCAATTCAGTTTCAGAGGGGTTGCCATGTTAGTCTGTAAAGGTATGTTTAGACAGCAGTGCTATTTCAGGATACTTCTAGTATCCCAAAATAGCTATTCCGTGTCTTTTGACATTTGATATTTAGAATTTGAAATAACAGGCTCGCTATTCCAAAATCCCTGTAATGCTCATTCCACAAGGATTATGAGACATTTTGAAATATGGTGTTGTGTAGCCAGCACCATATTTCGAAATAAGCTATTTCAAAATTATATCAAAATAAGACACACAACTTGCATAGCTCAAACTGTGTATCTTATACAAGCTAAGGGTGTAGTGTAGATGCACCCTAACTGAAAAAACGTAAAAAAATAGTGAATAGTCCTTTGACACCTTAGAGACTAGTAAAAAATTTTGATGGTATCATGAGCTTTTGTGGGCACAACCCACTTTTTCAGATAACCATAGTTTATACGTTGCACAAATAGGTTATGGGGGAAGCATGAGGCAATGCAGCTGCAGCTATTTTACGTTGTTGGAATAGTTTTATTTTATTTTCTGTGATCTTTATGCAGTTTTCCAACTTCTTGTTTCAACAAGTGAACAATATTTCTCTTGGCAATTTTTAATAAGCAGAGTTTAAACAAAAAGATGAATGAAATGGAATCCAATAGAAAGCATCACAATTTTAATTTGACTGTTAAAATATCAGCAAGTAACATGCAACAATTTTGTGATTAAAACTGAGAGCAGGGCTAGATAGAGCTCTGTTCTGCAAGAAACAAAACATTGCCATCTTGTTTGATCATGTCCTACTGCTAGATTTTGTAATATGGGATTCAGTTCTGGTCACTGCATTTATTTGTCAACCTAATTAACAAGTTTCACTAGGGAACATACTCAAAATATATTCGGGGAACAGCAACGGAGAACTCTGAAACTGAGGGATAACTGCACAGATTGTTAAGATAATAAGAACAAAAGTTTATTATGTATCAACTCTAGTCTTTTCACACATCCGAATACAAATTATTTGCATTGTATATTCATGGGCATTTAAAAATGCCTCTTCCTTTTGTTCTCATTAAAGCTCTAGTTGTAATCATTTTAAAATGTCACGATTTGCCCATATTTGCAGATCCTGAATTCACCTGACAAACTCCGCAGGGCTAGAAGGTAATTTTAAAAGATTTTGGTGTCAGACTTTACAGAAGCCCTTTCTGAGCTACCTCTGTATTTTCTCCAGACATTTATTCCTCACCTATGCTTGTAGCATATACATTTAGTTCCATAAATGCGAATGATTAGATATTTCTGTGTTTCCACTCAGCGAAGGTGCTGTACCTGGAGAAACTATTCCTTCTTACATGCTATATGTAAGTATCTTCCAGATAAGAAATGGGAACTGCAAAATTTATGCAAGTCTCAGAGGCTTCTATCAGAAAGCAATGTCAATATTTTAAAATTTGGACCTGATTTTTAAAAATATTAAAAAGAAGGAAATCTATGCTTAGTTATGCTCAAAAGTTATCAGTAGCACATTGCATCTGTGAGTTCCAGGCCCAGTTCCATGTCATTTTGATTTCCCCCACTCTCGATCTACAAGATGGCCCAACACTATTACAACCCGGTCTTCATGCCAGCCTCTTGTTGATTTTGTGTTTCATCTGTGGTCAGGATTTCATCACATGTTCCTTTTCGATTATCTGGCTGTTCTTTATGTACCAAGTGCACCATTTCTTGAGATTTGCTAGCTTCTCCATTCAGTCCACTCATCTTCTTGTCTGACACTGACCCTTTGCCATTGTTAATCACTAGCTTCTTCTTCTGCCCACATCTAGTAAAAATAAGACACACAAATGGAGATTATGGAACTAGGAAGCACAACACACAGAGCAGATTTTCCAGAAAAAGTTCAAAAGAAACAAAACGCGAGTCTGTCAATGGAGAAAAGCAAATATGTAATACATAAAGCTTTTTTCTAGAGAGTGGCTATATTTCGTGTTTCAGGTAGGATATCGAAAAGTATCCTCGACTACCTTTATTCTGAGCCCAGTGACTTAAAGGGGAGCACGGTTCTTTTGAAAATCCCATTCTTTATATTATGGCTGTCAAGCAATTTTTAAAAATTGCAGTTAATTATGCAATTAAAATAGATCACAATTAATTATGTGATTAATCATATTGTTAAACAATAAATACTGTTTACTTAAATATTTTGGATTTTTTCCCCCTTTTCAAATATTTATTTCAGTTACAACATAGAATACAAAATCTACAGTGTTCACTTTATTTCTGATTACAAATATTTGCACTGTAAAAAACAATAGCATGTTTCAGTTCCCCCATTACAAGTACTGTAGTGCAGTCTCTTTTTAATGAAAGTTAAACTTATAAATGTACAAAAGTAACTGCATTCAAAAATAAAACCATGTGAAACTTTAGAGCCTAGAAGACCATTCAGTCCTATTTCTCATCCACTCAGGCAACAAGTTTGTTTATATTTTCAGGAAATAACGCTGCCCACTTCTTGTTTACAATGTCACCTGGAAGTGAAAACAGGCGTTTGCATGTCATCGTTGTAGCCAGCATTGCAAACTATTTACATCCAGATGTGCTAAAGAGTCATATGTCTCTACGCACTTCAACTACCATTTCAGAGGATACGTGTCCATGCTGCTAACAGCTTCTGCTCAATAATGATCCAAAATGGTGTGGATGTTCATTTTCATTATCTGATATAGATTCCACTAGCAGAAAGCTGATTTTCTTTTTTGGTGATTCAGATTTGGTAGTTTCCACATCAGTGTTTTGGGTTTTAAGACTTCTGAGCATGTCCTTCAGATTTTGGAAGGCACTTCAAATTCTTAAACTTTGAGTCAAATGCTGTAGCTCTCTTAGAGCTCTCACATTGGTACTCTCTTTGTGTTTTGCCAAATCTTCTGTGAAAGTGTTCTTAAAATGAACAACATGTGCTGGGTCAACATCTAAGATGGCTATTATATGAAATATATAGTGAATGAGGGTAAAACACAGAGCAGGAGTAAAACAAGTCTACCCCAGGGAGTTGAGTCACAAGCTTAATTAACAGATTTTTTTTTTAACAAGTGTCATCAGCATGGAAGCATGTCTTTTGGGATGGTGGTAGAGCACAAAAGGCATATGAATGTTTAGCGTATTAAGCACATGCCTTGCAACGCCCTGCTACATAAGTGCCATGGTAATGCCTCTTCTCACTTTCAGATGATATTGTAAATAAGAAGCAGGCAGCATTATCTTCTGCAAATGTAAACAAACCTGTTCCTCTTAGCGACTTGCTGAACAAGAAGTAGGACTGAGTGTACTTGCAAGCACTAACATTTTATATTGTTTGCGTTTGAGTGAAGTTATGTAGCCCTCTGCATTTGTAAGTTGCACTTTCATAAGAAATCACACTATCATACTTATATGAAGTAAATTAAAAATAGTTTTTTTTCCTATTTTTACAGTTCAAATATTTATAATAAAAAGAATCTAAAGTGAGTACTGTACACTTTGTAACTGAAAATATAGAAAAACATGCAAGTATGTAATACATTTCAATTAGTATTCTATTGATTAGCAGTATAATTAAATCCACAATTAGTTTTTAATCAAGATTAATTTTTGAGTTAATCATATGAATTAGATGCAATTACTCAACAGCCCTTACTTGATATATTGCTCAGTTATTATTGCTGAACTCATTCTGAAGGTTCAGCATTTGGAACTGATACTGGATTTCTAAAGTTTGGGAGGCTCCAGATTGTGGGGTTTTGTTTGAATCCCAATGGAACCAGTCACAAAATTTAGAACTGCAATTGTTTTTTAAAAGATATCAAATTTAGGAAGTGGCTGGGTACAATATTTGGATTGAGGGTTCCAGCATACTCCAGTTAAACCAAAGGATCATTTTTCTCTTCTGTTTTCTTTTAAACGTGTCAGAACTAGAACTGTGCTGACAATTATGGAAGGGGTCACAATGCTGTCATCAATGATTTAGCTTGTTAAAGACTATACTGAAGAATAGAAATAAAGACTGGGCTTTATCCTTCCTTTCACTCCTTTCCTGTAACATACGCCATGCAATGGTGTTGGAGTGGCAGCAGAGAAACTAACAGTGCTGGTTCTATATATTCAGGGATATCTCATGAAGGTGGTTAAACTGGCTTTCTGATTATGCTGCATACCTAAATATAAGATATGCACAGTTAAATATAAATATAAAGACATATACCCAAAGCATTATACTTTGAAAACAACTACAATATTTACACAAACTTGCTTTAAAAATGCTTCCTGCTTTGGCTAAGTGAATTCCATTTGAACTACTAATTTGGCAGCTAAATTATTTCTCCATCTTTAGTTTGAATCAAGTATATTTTTTATTGCCAGACAGACATATGACAGCTGTTTTAGCCAAAGTGGCCAAGAGCAGATCCCCCTTGTCTTAATTTGCCATGTTTACATTACACACATGGGAGTAAATTCAGCCCTGAATTACACATACTCAACACCAATTCCAGAAAATAGTGTACATTAATGAGATGCCATGGGAAGTAAGGCAGAGCAGAATTTCTTTCAAAATAATAGCTAAATTGCGAGGCATTTCCTCATGGGTTGTGGAGGGAAGGACTCTTTTCCCTCTAATGAGTATTTTGAGAGGAGTTATTCAAGACTGGAAAGCTGGATTCTTTACATAAAATATTTATTTGTTTTGTTGGGGCTCCACAATTTATGCTGGGCCTTGGGCAATACTATTTCAAAATCTCACAAGCAGAAACTGTGAAAAAGGGGAAATTTAAATAAAATCAAGCTATTTCCTATTCTCCAAAATGATCAACTTTGGTTGGAATTTCTAAGACATCCCATGTTGCATAAACTTCCCAAGTAGATAGGCTCAGTCTTTTGAGAGATGAATCAAACATTTGGATGCTTTAGGCATATAAAAGATTTTTTTGTGATACCTGGATTCTGAAACAATAACATATACACTTCCTTGGCCCATCCTGACCAGACTGTATGAAAAAGACACTGAAAATGTGTGGCTGGTTGATTAAAGTTCACTTCAATATTGGTAACACATTACAACTTAGTTGGTTTTTTAAAATTCTGTTTGTGAAAGCCTTGAAAATTCTAGTTTCTAAGGCTATATCTACACTACAAGGTTTTTGCACAAAACCATCTGGTAGAGCACCCACACCTCAAGCGTGTTTTTGTGCAAGTAAATTGACAGAACAGAGGGCTTTTGCCGGTAGTGTTATTCCTCTCCCCACAAGGAATAACTCCTTTTTGCGCTACAGCTCTTGTGCAAAAAGGCAGGCATGGATGCTCCAGAGGGATTTTTGCGCAAGAAACCCCTATCGGAAAAAGCACAGGTGCTCTGATGGCCATTCTGTGAATGGCCATCAGAACTTTCTTGCGCAAGAGTGTCCATGTAGTGTGGACACTCTCTTGCACAAAAACACATTGCTTTTGCGATGCACTTTGAGATCTGGACACGCTTTTGTGCAAGAACTCTTCTGCAAAAAGCTTCTTGCGCAAAAACCCTGCACTGTAGACAAAGCCTAACTCTGGAACCACTCACTCACAAACTCCTCAGTTTATTCCTTTCTGCTTTTCAGCAAAGATCTCACAACAAAATTGTTATTGTGAGATCAAAAATTATTAGTTTCACATGTCTAAGATTTATAATTTGTAGAAAATATTCTACAATATGCTCATTATGAATTACTGTAAGTAATTAAAACTAATTTACATTTGCCAAATAAACGAGTAAAATGGTTTTTATTTTTATATCGCCCTCCGCCCCATATTTATTAATTTAAGGCCTGACACAGTGCCCCCAAAGTCAATGGAAAGTTTCTCCTTCACTTCAATGGATGTTGGAGCAGAGTCCTACTTTCTATTTCACAAAAATTTCCTCCAAATCCACACAAATAAATAGAGGGGGGAGAAGAGGAGGAGGTGTGTGCACATCTAGTATTATGCTATATGTAACATTTAATTCCCTGAATTTCAAAGTAAAATATGTTTTTAATTTAAAAATAGTTAATAAATTATAGCTTTCAGATTGTTTCATTTCTGGATAGAGTCTATCTGTATTTGATCACAGCTAGACTTCTCTGTCAGTTTCTATGGTGACTTGGTGTGGAGAGGAAGGTAGAAGGAGGCAAAGAAAGCAGCCTCAGCTTCGCAGACATAGCAGAGTGGCGCAGATCACTAAGACAGAATATTTACACTTTAATTCTTAGACCAACTCACAAGACGGAGGTTGTAGATTGTGTGTTTTACTATGTGGCTGATATTTTAAATCAGCAGTTCCCAGTCTAGAGGGGCTACCAAAGGAGCACACTTGCTGTGGATATGGTCATCAGGCCATAACCTTTGCAGGTATAAAGCAGTACCACCTCAGCCCTAGATCATTTTACCCCAGCAGAGGACCTAGCCCTAGTCTGCAGTCACCCAGTTTGCACTTCCCTGCCTCACAAATCCTGCTTCACTTTGAGGAATGGTCTAATCAAAGGTTCCCTTCCTCTAGCTTCTATAGGTTCCCTATAGAAGCCTGTGGAGATCACATTTTAATGGCCAATCTGGTTAGGTCATCTCCCTCTTAAGCACCACTCACTTTTTTGGGCGTGCTGGCCTTTGCCATTGAAGAGTGCCAGTATAAACCAGGAACTAATTAACTCACTCTGTACTGTGACAGAAGTACATGAGAATATTTACACTGATGGAAAGTTCAAGTGTAACATTCAAATGGGAATCTGTCACTAACAAATAGGAAGCAAACCTCAGTACAGCTATTAATAAGAAAAGAAATATAGACTTATGTTTAGGGCTTTGAGTAGGCTTTTGTTTCCACAAACTTCCTGGTTAAACTTGGCTAAGTCATTGCACCTTTGTGCCTCAGTTTCACCATCTGTAAAATAGGGGCAAATAGTGGCTCTGTGAAGATATTTTTGCTGTTTATCATACAAATATTTTGAGATCCTTTCATGGAAAGTGCTATAGAAATAACATTATAAACTAAGAGACTAGGAAGAAAAATTGTGGACTTGACACTGCCAAGTAATACTCTGAATGCTTAAAAGATTTCTACCAAAATATTAGACACCTTTTGTTTACTGCAATGTTTCCCTCAATTAGTCCTAAAGCACAGGTCAAAACTGTGACTCCTGTCAGCCAAGATCCAAAGAGCCTCCTTCTCCCTTCAATCCATCTCCCAGTTCCATCCTTCTAACTATAAACCTTTCCTTCAGTTCTCACTATCCACTTCAAATGCCCCACAGCAGAACTCTTTTATAGTCTGCTAGAAGGGCTGGAGAATTGATTCTCTGCAGATGATCCAGCCAGGCTCACTACAAACTGCTGCTGTACTCAGGACTGGCAGCTGTGATGCTTCTTTTAGCTAGTGAGAACAGGTGAATCCTATCTCTAAGGTCCTCTGATGGGGAGTGCATGGAGCCTATCACACAGAGCAGCTGTACTCTTCTGGCCTGTACAAAGCACACAGTGGGCTTACATTTAGTTAGCTTGGAGACCACCTTGTTATTTACTGTACATGCTTCTGTTTACATCTATGTGACATTTTATAAACTCTCATTGATCTTAGAGGAAGCAGGATCATTATTATGTAAGAAACAGAGAGAAATGATTCCTTTACTCTGCCAGGTAAAAGTTCAGGGCCTCAAACCTCAGCAGTGTCTGATAACAGGTGTGCTGTTTGCAGCCATTGTCATTTTGTCAGAAACTCTTCCCTCTGCTTCTTTAAAGCTACCAGAAGCATCAGAAGCCTCCCAGTAATCAAGACAGAATGTTCTCCAACAATGACTGTCTCTAACCACAGGTAGAAGTGGGCTTCCTTACCTTCTCCGACTATTGACAGCAATGCAAACCGCCAAAACCAATGTCAGAGCCACAAGAGAAGCCACTATGATCAGCCATTCTGTGGGTGGAATTGGGAAAAAAATTAGCTCCTATTCTCATTTAGAGTTTGACACACAGAGGGACATGGGCAGTGTTGTATTCTTTTACAATACACCTATTCTGCTGATTGTCAACGTTTTTTCTGATATGCAAGACTACAAGTCTAATACTATTCTAACACAACAGTGTAAATAATACTGTGCAAGACATTTCTGAGCATTGGAATGAGAAATACATTTAGTTATGTGCTTATGAAATGAAACTGTTGTTGAATGTTAGCATCTGGAATCTCTATATGAAACTATGAAACCATGCTCGGGCCTTTAACGAGGGAAATTATTGCTTTATTCATTTACAGTATTTCTTCAGTGGGCAGGAGAGGCCTGGTTATGAAATGTCTGCAACAATATGCAGATAGGGTGACATAAAAACAGAGCGGAAGATCTGAACTTTTCTTCATTTTGTCATTTAACGTGAGATCCTAAACTTTAAAAGGACATTTTCAGGCAAATCTTGCTTTCTGTTTTTGGTTTAAAAAAAACAAAACCCTTGGATCATATCAGCAGAAATATGAAAAAAGCAAAGACAGGCTTGTTTGTTTGTTTCCAGTAAATACATTTCCTTATACTGTTTACAATCCAGACATTGTCAATATAGTACTACAGGCAGTCCCTGGGTTACATGGATCTGACTTACATCGGATCCCTACTTACAAACGGGGTGAGGCAACCCCGCACTAGCTGCTTCCCCCCCCAGCAGACCAGGGAGACGCGGAGTGGCTTTTCTCAGCAGACACCTCAGCTTGAGAATAAAGGACTGAGGGAAGTGAGATGTGCGAGAATAAAACTGAGCTCTGGAGAAATGTTTGGCTAGAGTTTCCCCTACAATATGTACCAGTTCCGACTTACATACAAATTCAACTTAAGAACAAACCTACAGTCCCTATCTTGTACGTAACCCGGGGACTGCTTGTACTACATGAGAATCTAATATTGATCTACAATCCCTATCTTGTACGTAACCTGGGGACTACTTGTACTACATGAGAACCTAATATTGACCATAAACTCTGAGCCTGATTCTGAATTCATTTACCCTGATGCAAGATGAGTGTAAATCCCACTATATGAATGGAAGTATAGCCCAGCAGGGAATCTATTTTTATGGAATCACTTCCATTGACATTATATTGGGATGATACAATGGGGATGAAAACTGGTATGATTTCATTCTATTAAGAAAAACATCTACATCACAGGCAGAACATTCCAGTGCTTTCAATCTCTATTTTTAGTTTTTCCAAATGTCCTAAATATTTTGCTTCAGAGCTGAAGTACAGGATGCATTGGCTGGAGTTGGGGTTAGCAATCATCTTTTATAATAACCTTATCATCTTTATTGATTCAATTCTGTCATCAGACTGTCAAAGACAATAGCTTCAGATACCAACCTGGTATTTGGGCTGATCTTGGCTGAGAAAATATATTTGTTGTTGTAGTCTGTCCATCTTGACCTCTTATTCTGCTATCATGTTTGTTAGATGTAAAACCTAGACAACAAAACATCCATTATGATCAACAATACTAGAGGAAGTTACAGACTATAGACTTGCCCTTTCATCATTAGAAAAGATTATATAAACTACAAAGTTTACCTGGACTCCAGAAACAAAAAAGTTTAACAAAAGGTTGCAACATCTCAGGGTAAAGTAGCATAGGAAAACATTGCACAACCCACATCTCATCAAAATGCATTAACAATCAGTATAACTAAGGCTGGCCTTGTTATCTCGAATAATATTATTCATTTCCCTCCTACAACAGCATGTTGTTTTTGTGGTTTTCACTTTTTATCATATTACTGTTACACGGGTTAAAATGTGAAACTAGTCAGAACATTTTCAGTCAAAAATACTCCTTCATTGAAACCAAAATGGGAAAAAAGGAGGGAAACAATGGTTCTCTTACAGGCTATGCAGAGAGAGTGAGTTGGGGGGGGCTCCATTTTGGAGAGAGGAACCAGATTGTAGATGTGGAGCCTTTTCCAGCACAGGAGCTGCTGTTAGAAGCTAGAGCTTACTGCGGAGAGCCGTCTGGGGCTTGGATCTAGCAGGCTGCTTCAAGGACTGTTGGTGATTGTCTCTGGAGAGGAGAAATTTGGCTGTGCCTGTGGCTCAGAAGGGCCTGCATAGCCCTTCACAGAAAGTACTGTGAATAATTGTGGCTCTTTGGGAAAGTGCTGCCTGGGATGGAACACAGAAAACCAACTGACTCTGGGTCCAAAGAGAGCTAGAGTGATCTGCCCAGGGAACCAGAGCTGCTAGCATTTTGGTGGAGCCTGCTCCAGTGGCACAGGGATTTTGCAGCTGACTGCCTAGCTTGGACTGACACATACAGAACCCACACAGCACTGTCTCCACTTTAGTTGCAGACCTTCAAGTGCACCCATGCAAGCGTCTGGGAGTCTGAGATGCAGGGGAGTGCACACTCTAGCGTGGGATAAATGGTGGCAGTGTACATGCCAGTTAGATACGTTTCTTTTATTTCTGTGTACTTTGTTAATTGATTGTACTCACTTTTAGTCTGTTATAGCTTGTTTCTTTAAGTTGTTAAGTAAAGGTGTGTTAATTCTAATTTAATCAATTAGACATACATTATGTATAATTGTAGTTTTGAAGTTAGATCCAGATTATTACTGGAATAATTTTATTCCTGGACACTCCCAAGGCACACTCCCAAGTGTGTACAGGGCCAGACAGGTGGAGGCCCCGCCATTGTATATTCCTTTAGGAGCAGGGGACTGCAGCAAGGGGGTGGATAGGGAATCCCCAACTATACATAACCAGTGGGATATTCAGGATCTCCTTTAATGTTGAAACCATCAGGCACCTAGGCATACAGATGTATGGGGCCTGCTCCTGAGCAACTCAGAAAGAAAAGAGAGGGTCACATAAGGTTACAGTTCTCAGAAGTTTCATGGTCTAGAAGTGAAGCTTCTGGAAGACAAGTTGCCTTGACATTTTGTTGTGAGGTTGGATTAGGTTTCCAATTCAACCATATACTTCTGCTCTGAACTATTTCTCATAAAACAACATTTGCTGGGCAATGCCCCAATCAACTTAATTCTTGAGTATGGTAACATCTCTGGCCTCCAGAAATGTTTATGCTCTTTTCTAATCAAGCCATACCATCATACACATGTATATACACTTTGAATTCCTCATAAAATTCTCCCTTGTCCAGTCTAAGCTTCCCCTAACCCTTCAAAGCACTTCATGACTGCTCTCTGTTCAAAATCTCTGATCTCATTTGCTAATAATTGCTGGCAAACAGAACTTAAGAAGCACATTTTTTTCTGCTTTTAGATTCAGCCAAAAAGCTCTTCATGAAACCTCCAGATGTTTTTATGTTCATCTGATGGGCTACTTCATGCTATCTCATGGGAAATTCATTGTTTAGGCCAAAGAACTGAACACTGAATTTAGCATCTGAGGGTATGTCTACACTACCCCGCTAGTTCGAACTAGCGGGGGTAATGTAGTCATCCGCAGTTGCAAATGAAGCCCGGGATTTGAATTTCCATGAGGAGTACAGCTAGTTCGGATTAGAAGCCTAATCCGAACTAGCTACTCCGTGCCGCGTGTAGCCGCGCAGCACGGGGTTCGAACTAGCCGGCATTTAAAAATGGCGCCGGCCGGCTTCATGCAAATGAAGCCCGGGAAATTCAAATCCCGGGCTTCATTTGCAACTGCGGATGACTACATTACCCCCGCTAGTTGGAACTAGCGGGGTAGTGTAGACATACCCTGAGGGACTTGATCTTGGCTCCAAGAAAACAGACAAAGATGGTCAGACTATAGAGTGGCTTGTGTAACCACAGATTTCAAGAGACACCAATCAGGGCCCTAGCATGATGCCCAATCCACAAAACTCCTTTGAACTGAACAGCTAACTTTTGTATAGTAATAAAGTCCAGATATTTACTAAAGATTTTAGTTTTCTAGAACTATATTATTCAAAAGCCCAGAAATACTCATCTGATGAAGTGGGATTTACCCATGAAAGTTCATGATAATATATGTTTTTGTTAGTCTCTAAGAAGCGCCACAACTACTCGTTTTTAAAGTTACAGTCTAACACAACAACCCCCCTGATACTTTTTTGCAAGAAGTACAGCCGGTCCCCAAGTTACGAACGGTCAATTTACGACCATTCGCATTTACGACCAAACCTCCCATTAAGCGGTCGTAAAGGCAGTCCACGAGTTACGAACATACCCATGCTTATGAACAGCGCGGTCGCAATGTAACTCAATGGGGTCCAACTTACGAACATTTCGAGTTACGGCCAAGTGTTTGGTCCATAACCCGTTTGGAACTTGGGGACCGGCTATGGACAGAAGAGGCACCAGGGACTTCTGTGAGGTTCATCTTATGGCTATTTAATCATAGTCTTTCTTTGTGAAGAATCAAATATGTATTTGGATTTCTTCAATGCATGGTTTTACTATCCCACTGTGGCTTTTGGGCAAAAGATCAGTCATATTTATGATGTCAGACCACAGCTGAGCATGACTACAGAGGAAAAGCAAGTCAAAACATGAGGCATAGCAGACTGAAAAAAGAATTTCTTCAGAATGAGCTTTCAAATATGTTCTTTTAACATGTGAAGTGAACTTTCTTTGTCATCCCATTCATGCTTCAAAGAGTGCATCTTAAACCTTCCTTTCCTCCTTCCTTCAACGTATGCATTCATTTTGACTGTAGCAGAGCTGTGACTTAGAATTCGCTCTTCTCCGCTATGATGCCACTGTGCACACATGCACACACACACACACATGTTATGAAGAAGGACTCATGAGGTCTGTTGTTCCATTAATATCGTTACTTTCTTTGCTGCTGCTAAGAATCTAAACCAGGCCTGGGCAAAATACAGCCCGTAGGCCAGATCCAGCCCACCAAGCTACAGATCTGGCCCACAGAGGCAATGAGGAGCCCCAGGCAGGCTCCCTTTGTTGCCCCGCAGCCCTGCATGCTGCTCAGAAATGCAGCTGTGGGGCGCTTTCTCTTTATGAGTCCAGAGGGGAGGCGAGAAGATTCAGATGCTGCTCCCACCCTCAGCACAATCCCATTGGTTGGTTTCTGGACAGACACTGGCCAATGGGAGCTGCCTGTTTGAATAACAGGAAGCCACGAAGCACAACACTCCTGCTCAGTTATTTACACAAGCACATGGCCAAGCAGGCAGAAACATTTTAAGCTCTGCAAGCCTTTAGCTCTGCAGGCAGGCAGGCTGATTTGGCTGCTGGCTGGTAAGTCTCCTGGAGAGAAACTGCCTCTGGCACCTCAGCCCCTCCCTTCTCCAACTCTCTGCCCCAGATTCCTGTCCTACTATTCCACATGCACCCATGCCCCTTCCCAGATCTGGCACCCCAATCTCCTGCCTGAAATCACAATCCCCTCTTATGTTAGGTCACATCCCAAAACTCTGCACCACAATTCCCTGCCCTAGGTCACAACTGCCACCTTCACCCAGATTCCCTCCCAGACTCCATTCTCCACCCTGTACCCAATCCCTTACCCCAAGCTCCCTTCTGCATCCAACCTCCATTCCAGACCCCTCATCTCTTCCATTAATACCATGGAAGAGTGTGGACCTCGACCACTTTCCAAAATCTAGGGAGTGACTCCCCCAGAAAATTATAGCCCACCTCTGATCCTTAAAATTACCTCCACTCCAGCTTGTTCAGTTTTCACATATTCCAAAAAGAAAAGCAACCAAACACTTCTACACAGTGTTTAATGTATGTCCATTAAATTAGGGAGACTACCTGGGGTTTTGTTGTTGTTTGTTTTTGTTTATATAAATGGAGACTGGAAGTAAGGAAACAAGTTCTCTTTTAAATTACACAAGTTACACACTTAAATATTTGACATCAATAATATTGCATTTTATAAAATAAATGTATTCAATTTATAATACTTGAGGCATCTATATTTAAAAGTTAGGCCTTTAAATGAAGTTTTAATCTGGTTCATTTTGCTGAGTTTGTATCACGTTCATTAAGATCTGTAAAGACTGGGGCCTAGATTGTGATCTCACTTAAGCTAATGTAAATTAATACTGCCTCCTCCAAAGCCAATGTAAAACTGGCGTGACAAGAAAGTAACATCTAGAACATTTAATGCAACTCAGATAGAATCCACAGACTATAGAAAGCAAATCAGTGCATCGCCATCATAGAACAAGTCATTTTTTATACTCAAAGTTTCTTTCTAAAACAAATTAAAGTTTTTATTTGATGCAAATACTAACTCTTTGAACTATTAATATTTCATGGCTATCTTCTAAAATATTTTGATAAAAGAGATGGTATTAATACATGCTCAGATTCTTGACTGTGTGCAAAAAATGGCTGCATTTTGTTGGATAAATTCTCTGCTGGCATGACTCAATTGAGTTATACCAGCAGACAATTTGGCGCAGCATGAGTCAGAAGGTGCAGCATTTAAAAAAACCTTAGTCTCTGGCTTGATAATTTAAATGAAAAGTACATCTGAGCATACAGAAAAGCCTCTTTTTTCAAAAATAATTACTTGCATGTTGCAACATGGAACCACAACATTCATTCGGTGGTCAATGCATGTTACTTCTTTTTACCAACTAGCTCTATCACAAACTTACTTTTAAAAGTAAATCATCTGAGAAATAAAAAGCCTGTTGCTTCCCAGCATCCGTAGATGCCAAATGTCACAGATGGATTACTTAACAGCAAAAATTACCAGGAAAAAATGTCGTACTGGAAATTCTCTTCCATGGCTTATGTTCGTAACATCAGGTAGGCAGGATGAGGACTAAGTGTCACTTTGCTAACATTCAAAATGACTACTGACATAACAGAGAATCAAATAAATAACATGATCAGAAAGATGGAACAAAAGTGTTCTGTGGGTTGAGCTTTTAGTACACAAAATGGTATCTTCTCAGTCTGACAGTGGAACACTAGCAATTGTAATGATATGTATTGTTTTGTATTTCATTTTCTGATGTTCTAGAGAGGATCTAGATCTGGTGAAAGGAAGAAATGATACTCATCTTCTGTGATACGTTAGATTGCTGGAAATACTAGTTAAATCATCTCATTCCACATAATTCTACAATTTAAGTACTTTCTTGTTCATTCACATTGGTAGGAAGCTATTTTCTAGCTTTAAAAACTCCAGTTAAAAGAAAAACTTTTTGGATTATAACATCTCCCCCCAGTAATTTACGTTTTACCTTTATATCCTGTAACATGAAAAAGGATGAAGGATTAGAAAAAATATTGTAATTCATTTTTCTTACTGGTGATTGTAGAAGCTGTTTCTCTGCCATGTCCACTTTCAAAGTCAGAAAAAACTCCAGGTATCAAATTATCCCTGGTATTGTTTGTGGGATATTTGTCTTCATTATCCCGTCCGGGTTGAATGCCAGGTGCCAACGCATCTGTAGTTGAGTCTTCGTGTTTAACACCATCACTGGAGATCACCACTGTTATGATGATGGTTGAATCAATTTTAAACTTAATATTTGTAGAACTACCACCATCACCACCACAATTATATATTTTTTCTCTTCTGGCCCTGTTTTATCTACAACAGGCCTTGACCTTTTGCATGTCTACTGTTTTTAAATCAGAAGAAGAGAAAAGAAGGGGGAGGGGTCCTTCAGCTTTCTTTCACATTGTCACTCATTTCTCAACTTTTGCTTTTACTCAGCATTATGATTTAATTTCGAAGTGTCTCAGTGACAATGGACACTGAAGCAAGGTCAGCTAAACGAGCAAGATCAAGCAGCACCTAGGAGTGATCGGAAGTAATTACATATGCAGAGCATTGGAACCATGTCCAATAAGTATGACAATTATTTTTTTCTTTAGAGATTTCACTTATTTATGTTATGGCTCTAGTCCTTAAGTAATACTCCTTAGAACAGGTTTCAGTGACACAAAAAACACACCCCACATAAGAAGCTATGAGAAAATATCATGGAGAATCTATGACTGTGATTATTTTGTAAAATCCTTTTCCTGATCCTCTAAACCAGTGGTCTCCAACCTTTTTAAGCATAAGATCACTTTTTGAATTTAAGTCAGTCCAGGATCTACCTCAAATGCAAATACCTCTGCCTCTGTCATCCCCTCTACCCCAGAGGCCCTGCTCCCCCCCTTTGCAGAGGCTTCACCCTCCTCACTGTGGGAAGATGGGGTACAGGGAAAGGGGACAGAGTGACACCAATTCCCCCCTGCCTCTGTCTCCCTCACTCTGCACAACAAGTATGAGGCTCTGGGCAGGAGCAGCAGGGCCATGGGGGGAGGGGCAGCTGAAGAACTGGCACTTGATAGTCTCTTGGCCAATCCAGTCAGGATCACCTGTCAGAGGCTCCAGGATCTACCAGTAGATCCTGATCTACAGGTTGGTGACCACTGCTCTAGACAGTGCTCTTCCATAAAGGGACTGCAGGTAAGCCACTGGAGCAAGCCATCAGAAAATCTCACCAGAAAACACCATCACCACACCAGAATTATATCCCCAAATTACAAGCTCACCAGAACAAATGCCATGATGATAATATGAAGATTAACAGGAATGAAAGATCAGCAATGAGAGACCTGTGCATCACCAAGCTGTACAACTTGCAAAATGATAGAGTAGCAAGAAAGGTGATTATTAGAACACCTAGCATTGCTACAGAGAAAAGGAGAATACCCCGTAGTCCAAATCATGCAAGTTCAGTATGTATCAATCCAACAACACAAGGAGGAAACTCTTATCACAAAAAGAAGAGTCAAGAATAAACTAGAACAAAAATAATTTCACAATATTACAGAATTTTTTGAGTACCTGATTTCCTGTATAACGTGCCACAGCTTATTAAGAGTTATCAATAGACTTTTAGCATATTATAAATGCTTAATTAACAATTAAAATGCTCTCATCCAAAAAAGAAGCAACAAGACTATAATTCAGTATTCTTCCTGGTACCTGTATAAGGAGATTCTTTCTCATGTTCAGTTTCACTTGGAGGAATAATTCCACGTAGTAGATCATCCCTAGAGGTATTTGTGGAATATCTATCTTCATTGCCCCATTCAGGATGAACACCATGCAACAATGGATCATGTGTTGAGTCTTCATGTGTGGCACCAGCATTGGAGACCACAGCTGTTATAATGATGGTGAAGCAATTGGGAACTTAATATTTGCAAAAGCACTATCCAAGTTAGTCTCATCTTCAGATTTTATCCTCTACCCTGGCCTTCCCCTTTAAAATTTGTTATATTTTGAGCACAGAAGGCTCTTGATTCACATTAGCACTTGTTTTCTCACCTTTTTAACCAACAATGTCAGAATATTATGGCTAAACAGAAATCTAATGATAATGGCCATGAAAGACTGAGCACAGAAAGTAGTTCTCTGGAACTCAGGTCTGATCTCAGCCCATGGTGGAGACAGTCAGTTAAGCTCACAAATTAGCAGTCGCACCTCACCAAATTGATCTATGCAAATCAGTCTCATTAAAGCACAACAGAAAGATGGAAAATATTTAGACTGATGGGAGAATGGGTTAAAAAAACCCTGGGATTTTGGAATTACCAGGCTCTCTCTCCAATGCATGTATAGCAACCTGATCTGCCAAGAAATTTATGGAATTCCCTGGATTAAGGGAATCCCTGGTTGTCATAGACTAAGGAGCTAGCTAAATATATGCTCAAATTTCAATACAAAGCTCAGATTCACCAACATATTTTTTAATCCTATTTTTCACAATTCTCTATGATTTAGTCAGCACACAGAAAACAAGCCAGGGGAAAGCTCAATATACAGACCCAGAAAAAAAGAGAAAGAACATTTTAAAAATAGGCTTTTTTGTTCAACTGATTCCATTAAATAATCTCAAAAAATATACTAAGACACCTCTGGACTGAGAATTTAGACTTTCAGCAAGGTAATATTGTGAATAAATTGTATAGATAAGAAATAATAACTCATTACACACAAGGTAAAGCAAATATAATTCGTTATTCTTGCTGTTACCTGTATAAGACTCATCTTTATATTCATTTTCATTTTGAGGAATAAGTTCATGCATGACATTTTTCCTGGAGGTCTTTGTGGGATATTTGCCCTCACTGCCCCATCCTGGTTGATTATCTGGAGGCAGTGAACCATGAGTTGAGTCTTCATGTATGGTACCATCACTGGAGGTAACAGCTGTTATGACAATGGTTTAATCACTTGTGAATTTGATATTTACAGACACACTATCCACATTAGTCTCATCTTTGATTTTTTTGCTCTACATTTGGCTCTTTCACATGTCTACTGTATTTAGAGCATTGGAAAAGAGGACCTTCTTTTTGTTTGCATTGTCATTGCTTTCTCAGTTTTTCAACCCTCACCCTCTTGCTATAGAAGCAAGACCATCAAAATAATAAAAGCAAATAGCAGTGATATCTTACCCTATAACTCAAGACTGATCACAGATGCTGAACATAGGAACCTCTAGTATGACAATGATTTTCTCTTTTGAAATTTCACTGATTCAGTCTTTAGGCAGCACACTTTAGAACATATTTCAGTGGCATAAAAGGCGCACACAAAGTAAGATGCTATGATGGAATGAACAATTTACGATAGTCTAGTTATTACGTAATAATCCTGATCTCTCAGACAGTGCTCTACCATAAAGGGATGGTTGTTGAGCCCAGGGACAAGCCTTTGAAAAGCTCATCTAAAACACTCCTACCTCCCCAAATGTATATTGCCACCTTATAATAAGTAATACATACATAATAAAACAAACTTAGTAATGATAATACAAAGGTTAATAAGAAAGCAAATTACAAAGACGGAAGGGTTTGTCATTATCAAGCTGTCAAATGATTAATGAGATATTCAATAAACATACTTTATGAAAGAACAAACATTCTACTCTCTTTGATGAAAGAGTATCTAATAAATATCTTATATGGAGTGTAAGAATTAAAAAACACCCTCCATTGCCAATATCCAGGAAGAGAGATTGGTGAGAACAGCAATTATTAAAACATTTAGCACTATCTGTGGAGATCTGGCAAGTTTCTCTTGGTTCACGTTGTGCAAGCTTATGATGAAATATTTTATCTGAAAACTGCAGTAGAAATAATATCTCATTTCACAGTGAGTGAGGAGATTTATCTTCAAGTTCATTTTCACTAGCACAAATAAGCCTATGTAGGTAATCACCTCTAATGGTCCCATCCTGGATCCACATGGATAAGTAGACTCTGGGGTGAGTCTTCACATTTGGCACCACCATTGACAATGGCAGCTCTTATGATGAACGTTATGAATCAGCTGTGAACTTAATGTATGCAGAATATGCTCATCTTCAGCTCTGCATTTGGCCATGAAGTTTTATATTTCTACTGTTTTAAGAATGTAGGAGGAGGGAGCAGAGACACTCTGTTTTGCTCCATGTTATCATCGGTTTTCTGAGCTTTCAACCAACACCATCTTGCTTTTTGGGGCACAATGATTTGACTGAAATGATCCATGCTGATAACATAGATAGATGTCATAACATGAAAAGCTGGAGTAGCAGCAACTTATCTCTGTAACCAAGTCTTATCTCAGTTACTGAGTTTGAGGAGTCACCATTAATATGTGGCGAACAATAATTTTTGCCTTTGGAATTTCACTTTTTCATACAACTTATTTGGGAATCTTGCTATGCATTATTCCACAAGCTTTAATCTGCATGAGAAGTAGCCAGAGAACCTTCCAGCACTTTGATTCAGAAAAATGCAAGCACAAATCATAATCTAGGGAATTTTGAACAGCTGATTCCATGCACATAATTATCATTGAACCACTCCCAACAAAGTTTTATTTAATAGACTTTCAATGGCGTATCACCAAGAAATTACACAGATGTAGAAGTAGCATTTATCACTCCATATAAGGAGTAAATGGGCTGTAAGGTGGGATTTTGGAAAGTATTTGGCATTAGTGAAACTCTTCTCATGTCAAAATAAATAGTAATGCTTCTATTGATTTCAATGAGAGCAGTGTTAGGGCAATGCTGTGTGCTTCTGAAATTTTCACGCATTATTAATTTTTCTTTGTGGTACCTGTATGAGAAAATTCCTTTTCCTGATCATTTTCACTTGAAGGAATAATTCCAGGCAGCACACCATCCCTAGTGCCATTCATGGGATACTTGTCTGTATCGCCCCCAACCAGGAGGAACATTATGCAGGAGGGGATCTTGGACTGTCTTTATGTTTGGTCCCACCATTGGGGACCACAGCTGTTATGATGGTGGTGAAGCAATTATGATATTAATGCAGAAATAACCACTCCTTATATTATTCTCTTCTTCAGTTCTTGTCTCTATAACAGAGATTTGTTCTGTTATACGTCTACTACATTTATAGTGACATTGGAAGAATATAGAGATTTTGCTCCTCTTTCTTATCTCAGTCCAGAAAATTCTCACAGAGATCAATGGGACTTAAATACATGCTTAAATACTCCTCTAAATCAAGAGACATCAGTGGTTTTCTAACTCGTTTTACAAATACTATGTTGTTTTGCAAGACTGTGTCTTGGCTAACCATGAACCCAGTTGAAATGGGCATGGAAGCAAGAACTCAAAGAAGTAGTAGCTGCAAACATTTGATCTCCTAATTCAGGTTTAATCAGACATCAGAATGAAGATTATGTCTTATTAACAACCATTGATTTTTCTCTTTCAAGATTTCACTGTTTTATTTAGCTACACTCCCTCCAGTAAAGGAGATCTGACTATGGGTGGGAGAAACCCTGCTTTTGTGACATAAAGGACACATACAAAATGTGAGAAAAATCATGAAATGGAATATGGAGTATTTAATACTGCAATAACACAGTAAAAATAAAAGCAATACCTATCTCATCCAGACAGTCATCTTTAGTAAAGGGAGTGCTACAAAGCCACAGGGAAAAGCAGTCAGAAAAATGCACCAATAACACCACCACCTCACCAAATTTACATTCCCAAATTTCAATTTTATTCAAATAAAATTATGATTATATTAAGATGAATGTAGCATAAAGAGAGGATGAAGCTGTGAAACTTGCAATATGATTAGTTACAAAATAAATATCCCTCACCAAAGAACAAACTTTATGACTGTGTCTAGACTGGCAAGTTTTTCCGCAAAATCATCTGCTTTTGCGGATAAACTTGCCAGCTGTCTACACTGACCGCTTGAATTTCCGGAAAAGCACTGATGATCTCATGTAAGATTGTCAGTACTTTTCCGGAAATACTATGCTGCTCCCGTTCGGGCAAAAGTCTTTTTCCGAAAGACTTTTGTGCAAAAGGGCCAGTGTAGACAGCAGAGATTTGTTTTCCGCCAAAAAGCCCCAATAGCGAAAATGGCAATTGGGGCTTTTTTGCGGAAAACCGCATCTAGATTGGCCACGGACGCTTTTCCGCAAAAAGTGCTTTTGCGGAAAAGCATCCTGCCAATCTAGACGTGCTTTTCCGAAAATGCTTTTAACAGAAAACTTTTCCGTTAAAAGCATTTTCGGAAAATCATGCCAGTGTAGACATAGCCTATATGTTATATTCAAAAAGAAGTATGTAACCAATCAAGAGAGGCAAAATGAACAAACTCCCATCATAAAAAGAAGGGGGTGTACTCAGATATACAGTGACTATTAAAACATCTGTACTTATGTCTGAGATATGGGGAAGTAGCCTCTGTTTACTTTGTGGAGACTACTGGTAAAAGAATATATTTGATACATAGCGAATATTTTAGGAATGCATCCAGATTTGTAAAGTATGAAGCAAACTTCTTGATAAAGGCATAAATGAGGTCTCTTAGAAGGCACTGCAGAACTGATATGTAAAAAATCCCACCATGACCACAAGGAAAAAGCAAGAGAAAATCCCAACCAATAGGCCCAGTAGTAAAGAAAACAAACAAATAAAGTTCACAACAAAGCCTAAGGAGTTCAGATTAGCTCATTCCATGCAATCAGGATGTGAGGCAATATAATGCTCTCATTGTGTCCCTTTTATAGTTAGATTTATCAATAAACAGCTTAAAGAGTGAAATAACCTAGATATTGATGTTTTCTCTAAACTGGAAAGCCAGGAGAAAAAATTATTAAAAACTTACCAGTTTCTATAGGAGTAGATCTATTTTTCTGTTCACTTTCACTTGAAGGCACAAGTCCATGCTGCACATCAGTCTTAGTGGTATTTGTAGGATACTTGTCTTCACTGCCCCAGCCCAACAAATCCACATACGATGGTGGATCTTGGGTTGAACCTCCATGTTTGGCACCATTCATGGAAACCACAGCTGTTATGATGATGGTTGAATCAATTGTGAACCCAGTGTTGATGAACCACCACCCACATTATTCTCCTCTTCAATTCTTGTTATATTTATAACAAAGTTTGATCTTTAATGTTTCTACTGTATTAGAATATAGGAGAAGAATGGGGGGAAAAAGAGATCTGTTTTGTTCCACAAGATCATTCAACCTCTTGTATTTTTAACACAGGCCATCATCAGGCCCAGTGTTTTGGCTAAACAGAACTGCATTGAATATGGATGTAGAACAAAAGCAAGAAAAGATGGAATAGCAGCATCAACTTATCTCTATAACTCAGTTTGCTGAGCCTGATGACTGACATCTAAATATGGCAGCATCCAATAATTTTCTCATTTGAGATTTCACTGCTTCATACATGTTACACTGCTCATTTTCAGGCAGACAGATTCCATCTATTGGTTTGAGAAAAGAGCCTTCAGACATTACATGTTGGATGTGAGATGCTGTTGTACAATAAAATGAAATTCATTGCCCTGATTGTCCAAATAATGTTCTGCCATTAGAAAAACACCCTAATAACACACCACTAACTCACCTAGATTTATCATCCTACAATTACAACATGAAACCATGATTGTAGGATTACAAAGATGTGCACTTTATAATATAATTAGAAATGAGCAAAATGAACATTCCTTACTACATAAAAATATATGCTATGCTCAAAAAAGCACCATATAGGCTGTCCCTGGGTAGGAAATAAGAAAAACCCATTATGCTACCTCTAACATGTTGGTATACCAGTCAACAAGGCTGATTATTGGAACTTATAGTGTTAGCTTTGGAAATCAGAGAATTAATCTACTCTCCATGTCATGAACGTTTATTAAAACACTTCAATTATTTTTTGAGATATGGGGAAATCTTAGGCATATCTTAGGCAGTTATTGTGAAATTACTTTTTTGATTCCTTGGAATTGGAATGTAAAGCTCTCTGTAGGCTTTATCAACAGACTTAACAGGTTAAATAGTGAAATCACTCATCCAAACTGAAGAGTTAAAATGAGTATTATTCATTATTTGAACTACTGGTACCTGTAGGAGAAGATCCATCCTTATGTTCACTTTCACTCAGAGGGATAAGTCCATGTAACACTTCATCTCTAGTGATATTTGTGGGATACTTGTCTTCTTTGGACCATCTTGGATCAGCAGGAGACGGTGCACTGTGGACTGGACCTTCATGTTTGGCATAATCGTTAGGGACCTCTGCTGTCATGATGATGGTTGAAACAATTGTGAACTTATTATTTGTAGAACCATACTACTCTCATTTTTGTTCTTTACCCCATCACAAGAAGTCCTTGATCTTTGATATTCGTGCTGTATTCAGATGGTGTCTAGATGGTGTTTCAGCAAACACTTCATCATGTGCTTAGCTTGACCTCAGTGAGACTACTCAAAAATTCAGATCTAACACTGTTCTTCAATGTTTACTAAATTGGGGTTTTAGAATGTAAAAAAGAGCAAACCAGAGAGGACTTTCTATTTTGTATAACATTATGACCATCACTACTCATGTTCTATCCAAGGCCATATTCCTATTCAAGGTCCATGTTTTCAACAGAAATCCTCTGAAAATGGAGGTGGCAGCAGCAGCAGGAAGAGAAGGAATAGCAGCATCAGCTTGCCTTTGTAACTTAGGTTTTATCTCAGTTACATGGCATCAAGACAGAACTACAAATATGGCAGGAAGAATACTTTTCTTTTTTGGAGAGATTTCAGTGCTATCTACACACATTTAGGTGCTTGTCTCCAAATTGGCAGATTCAGAAAATTGCTTTGAGGCATGCTCTTTCATTTAAATTTTTTCCAGTCCATGAAACATTTGTGAATATCAAGCCACATGACAGAAAAACCATAGTCAATAAGCAATGGCTATGTCATATGGTGTTCTTTCTATTTCTAGGATGAATCACTGAACTCTGAAATGCTGAGTCAAATGAAGAGCAACTACTAAATGTCCAGTGAGTATTTTCAGATGAATAATTATTAGTGCTAAAATCCGTAAATCCTGTTTTACTCTATTTAGCAAGTACACAGAAGCCAAAGAAAATGCCAACCCCTCTAAAAAACCCTAAAGAAAAGATGACAAATAATCAACGGAATGATCAAAATACTCAACCAAAACTATAAGTTTTGACCTAATGATTCCATGCAACCTGATCATATTGACATACTAAACGGAGCTTTATCAATAGACTTCAGGTATTATAGCACAGATAGGGCCAATCTGTGGAGAGATTGGGGACTATAAATGCAATACAAGTAGCAAATTTAAGCTTGCTGGAGATGGCCCTAATGAAAAATGACAAGAGCAGAAAAGGTCTTAGTTGCAGCAGTGGCAGAACAAGTAAGAACAACGTGTACGTCTCTCCCTCTGGATTCATACAAGGTATTTTAAAGCAGTAAATCATAGGCTCTAATGCCAGGAGAGACCATCATGATCACCTTCTACACATGACAGTCACCAACAGGACCTCACCCACACAACCCTTAATAGGCCCAGAACCTCTGGCTGGGTTGATGAAGTATTCAAATCTTGATTTAGAGACTTATCTTAGTAATTCTAGATTTGGATCCAGGTAAGTTGCCTTTGTTTGTGAGAATGAGCTATTTGGTTGGATATTTGGAGTAACTTTGTATATACATTCAAAGTTTAAAAATATATTGGTGTTGATATTCTATGCTGTATTAAAATACCTGCTGATGTAGTAATCAAATTGTTTTGTTCACTATTCAAGGTGCTGTTGTTTAGACAGATGCAGTCAGAAATGTTTTGGAATACCGCCACCATAGCAGATTTACCCTTCAAAGTTGAAAGGCATTCAGAAAACGTACTGGCAAATAGAATACATGCAAAATAACAATCTAAGAATATTGCCTTCAATATCAGTGCATACCATGAGTGAAACACTCATAGTTAAATAAGAGCTCATAATCAGAGGATGAAAACATTATAGACAGCCCTTTGCAATAAGCAATGAGCATTAGCACAAAGAAACAGCAAGAGAAAAGCACACTAACTAAACCAAAAAAAGTATATATTTGACTTAGAGAAGTTGGAAATTATTCTTTTCTCAGTTCTTAAACAAACTCCATATATCAAGCAATGAAATGCGCATAGAAAAGGCCATTTTACACTCAGATGAATTTCACTGCCTTCTCTTCTGGTTTATCCTGATATTATGGGCTTGATAGAGGAACTACTGACTGAAATTCTATGTCTCATGTTATGCAACAGGAAAAAATAGCTGTTAATTTCAGTCCTTTCTGGCTTTAAAATCTAGGACTAAAATAGCTTGGAAACATTTACAAAATAAAACCTTGATACACAAATCCTATTAGTACTGTAAACGTTACAGTGAGTTATCCAACCTGATGCCAACCATATGGTACCTCACTGCCAGAAAAAAAGTTACCATCTTACAACCAAAAAGGAAATTATCATGATGTTAGATGTACATCTGAATCAGGGTTTCCCAACCTCTGGGTTGGGCCCCAAATATGGGTCACCATTACATTTCAAAAGGGTCTCCAAGTGTCTCCCCAGCTGGCTCTGCCCCTCTTTTCCCTCTGTTTTTGAATTGCTTTGGGTCACCAAGTCTTCCTGAATTGTCAAAATGGGTCCCCATCTGGAAAAGGTTGGGAACCGCTGATCTAAATGGATGGTGCAGCATGCTCAGTCGCAGAACAGATTGAACGAGTCACAATTTATCTCCAAACTTTATGGATTGGGTGTCTCTCTTTAATGGAATGAAATGAAGCAATGAACCGGAAATCTTCCAAATACTGCAGCTCAGATCCAGCTATACTTTAAACCTAATTATAACTCAGAACTATTTAATTGCCATCTAGCAATACCTGAACAAGGCTTCCTGTTCATTCCAGAGAAACACAGTATCCTCACCTAATACATTTATTGGCCTTTAGCTTCAGAGTTCACTGAGCCCAAAATCTGTTTAATGACAAAGAAAATAAAGCACTCTCAAGTTCTCACTTAATTACTCATACTTATACCTGTAGTTGAATGTTCACTTCCACGTGAAGGAATGACTCCAGGTAGTACATCATTCCTAGTAGCTTTTGTGGAATACTTGACTTCATTAAACCATCCAGGATCTTTAGTTGGGACTTCATTTTTGGCACCTTCATTGGGGCCCACAACTGCTATGAAAATGGTTGAATCAATTTTGAACTTCAGAATCAGGAACACCCCTACTTTTACTTTCAGTTATTGTCTTTTTAATGCACGATAAAGGAGGAAAGCCCTACGTATTGTTCTACAGTACCACGGTCATCTCACTCATCCATTTACAGGACCCTGATATGGAGCCATAAAAAAGGATGTGTCCACTGACTCTGATTTTTGGTTGTTACCTGTTTCACTAGAGAACAGGTGCTCATATTTGTGTTACACAGAGAGGTTATTTTACTGAGCCATTGTGGGAAAAGAGAAGATTAAAAAAAAAATCTATATCATAGTTTTATTTGTAATTGATGATTCAGACAAATTAACCGTGCCATTCTTGAGCGATAGAGAAAAGCATCCAGAAAAGTCCAGGAATACCACCACCACATCAATTTTATCCTCCAAAGTTAAAAGCCACCAACAATTTCACCAGAAAACACGATTGCAATGGCAAGTTAAATGTGATTTCAGAATAAAGGTAGAAAGCACTGTACAAAGTCATTTTTGTAAACCATGTCCATAGAAAAATGAAAGCCTGCTGCACCATCTGCAATTAACTACCCAATCAGCAATAGAAAGAAATAACCAGGAAAATGACACCTGAGAAATTCAGACAACAAAAGACCCCGCCAAGCTTAATCTTGAATCAAGAAAGAAGTACGCAAACAAATTACACAGCAAAGTGTGCATGTTTGGTTATTTTAGATTTGTTCTCCCCTCACTCTCTAAGCCAGCAAAATGTTGTCAGCATCCCATTACCTAGTGAATAGGAGGCATTTTCCAAACACACAACCTTCACTAATTACATCTAATTGCAATAATGCAGTAAATATATATTATACAACTCTATTTTTAAAATATTATCAAATGCACACAGTTTCACTTGATGCTATCCATATGATGCCGACCCTCTCACAACCAAGAACAAGCTACCAGAGTGTGGGCATTACATGTATAATTAGCCAAATAAATGGTTTTGGAGGAAGGGGAACATATTGATCGATGCAGAAAACATCTCCCTTTTGATGATCTTCGAGATTCATTTGGTTATTGCTTCTGGCTAATAATAGTGGTGTTAGCATAAGGGACTAGGTATACACTCACATCATAGGGTTCGGTTGATTACTTTTCTATTCACATTGCAGCTGGAACTTTGACACTGAATTATCTGAGAATTCGCTTTTTGAAATTCATCAATCACATTTCTGAAAAAGTGTAAAGAAAGGCACATCCCAAATAGGTTTAGTTGTATCTAGAGCACAAAACATGGAGTTTTTCCAGAGTCTCAGGTGCCAGGCCATAACTTATCCCTTTGTTCCCTTTTCTGAACACCTATAAGAATGCACATACTCTGAAGTTATTGTTACTGAAAGACATCTGCCAAGGGTTGCCATAGCACCACCAGTAATGCCAAAGAGGCCAATTCGATTCTAGAAGCCAAGAATCTGGTAATGAAATCTGAGTATTCCCTCACTCAAATTTGTAACAGACTTTAAATAACTTCTTCTAATATAATTACTTGGAGGTAAAAGTAACAGTATCTCTGCTACTACTGGACCAAGTCCTAATGTCTATATTCTGTTTATAGTCAGTCCTTGCTCTGGCAAAAATCTTTCATAAAAATCCACTTTGTAATAATGGACATTAGGGACTAGAACCTCAATTGGTTTAAACTGACATAACCCCATAATGGTCAATGAAGCTATGCCAGTTTGAGTCAGCTGGGAATCTGGGCCCAGAGTTGGCCTACAAGGAGATAAAATTATTACAATTCATTACTGATACCTGTAGGGCTATGTGTCTTGTGTCCTAGTTCTTTATTCACAGTCACACTTGAAGAATGATCTCTTTCCTTTCCAGGGAAATGTGCAGGCTTCACACTGTCCCCAGTAGTGTTTTTGGAATATTTGTCCTCATCTTTGTCCCTTCCAAGATAAACATTATGCAACAAAGGATCTGCAGTTGATTCTGTACGCTTGGAATCACGAAGGGAATCCACATCTGTTTAGGGTATGTTTGAAATAGAGTGTGAAACTTAATATTTCCTGAGCTGCCACTCACGTTCTCAAATTCTGCCCCATGTATTTCTGCATGAAGCTGTGTAGCTGTTTAAGCATAGTATGCCATTGCTAGGAGAAAAGAGTAAAAGGTGCCCTATAGTTTAATCCTAACCAATAATATTTTTTAATTGTCCAGGGAGCATGACTTGGCTAGAAATATTAATGGTAATTAACTGCCCATATTTGTCTGGATAAATGCAAATATTTTGTTTTCTGAGCCACCAATCACATTTTTCTCACCATTTATTTTGATTGATTTTAGAACAGACATTTCATAGAAGGATTTTTTTTCCAACAAGGTAGCTGATATTTCACATGAGGAAATCCTCTTAGGGTATTACATAATTGTTGAAGAGACATGATTTTAAAATATCATAGATAGATAGCTAGATATTAATCCAAGTGGATAAGTGGGTGTAAACCATATGATATAGAGATGCTTATATCCATTAGAAATGGCCAATAGGAAAATACCGGGCATGGAAGTAGCATTGGAAATGTTGCTTGGCTGCCACCTGAAATCAGTGTAGCTCTTCTACTTCCAGAAATTCCACCAGAAAGCTGAATTTTATATGAAATTACTTAAATTGTTCACCCCTACTGGCTGTGGCAGGACCCTGCTTTTTGTTATCTGCATTGGATCAACAGGGATTCAGTGAAGGATTCCAGGGATATGGTGTGGAGCTTTCCAGAACTGCAGCATGCCAGGAATCCACAGCTGCTAGCCCAGTGTACATCTCAGTGGGGATACATATATTTGCTCTGCCATTCTGACTATCTCTTAGTCATTTGCTCTTGTTTCCTATACATCAGTAATAAATCACTAGATCTACACTGGCAGCTTCTTGCGCAACAACAGCCGTTCTTCCACAAAAACTTGCCGGCTGTCTACACTGCACGAGCGATCTTCCAGAAGTAAATTTACAGTACAGCGTTGTAAAACAGGGCTTCTTCTGGAAGAGTTATTCCTCTCCCTATGAGGAATAAGCCCTCTTGTGCAAGAGCTCTTCCAGAAGAGGCCCGTGTAGATAGGCAACATGAATTTCTTGCGCAATAATCCCCTATGGTTAAAATGGCCATCAGAGCTTTCTTGCAGAAGAGAGCATCTACACTGTCATGGATGCTGTTGCGCAAAAGCACATGGCAATGTAGACGCTTTCTTGTGGAAGAGTTTTTGCACAAGAACGCTTCCACAAAAGAGTTCTTGCGCAAGTAGCTGCCAGTGTAGATGTAGCCAGAGTGTGGAAGGTGATCAGTAAGAATGGATGCAGAGCTTTTACAAGAGTGTCATTAGTTTTTGCATCCACCCATTTATATCACACCACTGTTGGGGAGCTGTTGGCTTGCTGTGAAGTTTCCCAATGAGATTGGAAAAAAAAAAAACAAGAGCAACAGAAAAATAAACCGTAGCTGAAATGGTGGCAAAATGAATACAGTACGTGTACAACTTACCCCTCAAACTGAAGTTTGAAGGATAATGCTGCACCAAACAACATGAAGGATCTGAATTTCGATAGTGCATCCTTGCCAAGTGCTAATAGTGTGCCCAGAGATTAGTGTTAAAAGTTCTGTTGTTGAATCAGAGAGCTATGCAGTTAACAAAAACTCTGGAAGAAACACACTATCACCACTTTTAGCCATCCAGTTCACATCTGCCAATAGTTCAATACCATTAGTAGGAGGAATTTACATAAGAACATAAGAACAGCCGTACTGGGTCAGACCAAAGGTCCATCTAGCCCAGTATCCTGTCTACCGACAGTGGCCAGCACCAGGTGCCCCAGAGAGGGTGGACCGAAGACAATGATCAAGCGATTTGTCTCCTGCCATCCCTCTCCAGCCTCTGACAAACAGAGGCCAAGGACACCATTTTATCCCCTGGCTAATAGCCTTTTATGGACTTAACCTCCATGAAATTATCTAGCTTCTCTTTAAACTCTATAATAGTCCTAGCCTTCACAGCCTCCTCTGGCAAGGAGTTCCACAGGTTGACTACACGCTGTGTGAAGAAGAACTTTCTTTTATTAGTTTTAAACCTGCTCCCCATTAATTTCATTTGGTGTCCCCTTCTATTTAGGGAACTAATAAATAACTTTTCTTTATCAGCCCTCTCCACACCACTCATGATTTTATATACCTCTATCATATATCCCCCCTCAGTCTCCTTTTTTCTAAACTGAAAAGTCCCAGTTGCTTTAACCTGCCCTCATATGGGACCTGTTCCAAACCCCTAATAATTTTAGTTGCCCTTTTCTGAACCCTTTCCAAGGCCAAAATATCTTTTTGGGGTGAGGAGACCACAACTGTACACAGTATTCAAGATGTGGGCGTACCATAGTTTTATACAAGGGCATTAAGATATTCTGGGTCTTATTTTCTATCCCTTTCCTAATAATTCCTAGCATCCTATTTGTCTTTTTGAGCAAATTTGAGCCCAAGTTAAGGACAAATACTTCTGGTACTAATGCAATCTGTAAATTGTTAATGCAAGGTGATCAGAGACTAAATATAGCCATTAGTTACAATGGGACACATTTTTTCTCTTAGTTACAGTCCTGCAGCCACCACTGAAATCACAGAAGGCAGATGGCTTATAACGATACAATGAGCAGTCAGCACAGAGAAAGATGAAGCCAAAGGAAAATAACACCAGAAATACCCAAAACTCAGGTCAAAGAATTGAACAAAATATTAAAGCAAACTGAATTTTTCATTAGGCATTTTTATTGAATGCCCCCCCCCCCCTTCCAATTTAAAGCCCCTCGATGCACCCAAAACAATTTAGAAACATACATATTAATACGACCTTTAAAATAAAGAACTAAACTCTTTATTGATAACCATAATTGAGCTTTTTATTTTCAGTACCTATACTATCCTGTCTTCTCCTAGTAAAAAAATAAACTTCATCTCCTAGTTCATGGCATACTGAGAATTACTGAGAGTGTTTGCAGGAGAACTAATTATGTGATAGATGATCATTAAATTGTTGCAAATATTGCACAGCAGGTAACAGAATACACAGTTTTACAGCAAGGATGTTTCATCCCTTTATTCTATAAATACTAGCAGGTGATAATCATGTACCATGATTCTAATTCCATCCATTTTCCTGTGTTAGTCACTGATGGACTATAGCTGCATTTCTGGTAGAACTTGAAATATTTGGGAGCTATCTGGGTTATGTGACAGATTTGTTTACTTGCGCAAATGGCACCAGATGCCATTCTTCACTGAGCTATGCCATTTTGCTTTAAATATATTAAGGTAGATAAAACTATTAGAATTCATTATTCTTACTGGTAACTGGAATGTGGTCCTCCTTGTCATCATTTTTGCCCCATCCAGAGTGTAATGGATCTTGTAGTGAATCTTCATCAGCTGATTCATTTTCTTGTGAATCCTCATCTGTTGCAATGATGTGAGACTTCTTGTAAATTTTTCATTTGCTGACCCACCACCATCACCACTCAAATAATTGTCATCCCTATTTCTTCTTGTCTTTATAATAGGCTGTGATTTTTAGAGATTTGTTCAGTGAAGAAGAAAGAATGTGGACAGAGGTGCCCCTCTTTGTGGAAGAAAATCTGTTATTTATTATTATCATTATTATTTATCTTATTTATAGCATTGGTTTCTGAGCAGCTACAAATGTGTCAAAACTCATAAAATAGTAAGAGATGTGCTCCTTTCCCTTCTAATATGACACCAAAAGTGAAAATCATCTGGTTTTCAGGTTCTTATGACATCTGCTGATAACATGTTTCTATTTAGCAGGCATGAGATTTCTGAAATCTTTACCTATCTATAAGGGATCAAGGAGCCATTAAGGCAAATAACCTTTGGCTGTGTCTACACTGGGCCACTTATTCCGGAAAATCAGCCACTTTTCCGGAATAAGCTGTGAGCTGTCTACACTGGCCCTTGAATTTCCGGAAAAGCAACGATGCTCTACTATCAGACGCTATTCCGGAAAAACTATTCTGCTCCCGCTCGGGCATAAGTCCTTATTCCGGAACACTGTTCCGGATGACGATCGGGGCTCTTTTCCGGAAAAGCGCGTCTACATTGGCCACAGACGCTTTTCCGGAAAAAGGGCTTTTCCGGAAAATCAGCCTGCCAATGTAGACGCTCCTTTTCCGGAAAAACTGAAAACAGAATAGTATTCCGTTTTAAGCATTTCCGGAAATACATGCCAGTGTAGACACAGCCTTTGTGTTCTGCTAACCATGGGGGTCAAAATAGAAAGAAGAATACAATTGGGGTTAACAGAACACACAAAATTTGCAGCGTTTCTGGGAGTGACCATTACATGCCATGTAGAGATATCTAAATCAGGAGCACAGGAATAGCAGTGGGCATATGCCTCATGATGAAGGGGCTACTCAAGTGTTCTCATGGTGGCAGTGTCACTTCACTTTTTTGCAGTGTGGACTTGTGTTCTTCAGACACAGTCCTGCTCTAACGCTTATTATTCTCTCTTGTGCAGCATTAAGAAGGCAGTCCAATGGCAACCAGACATCAATGGGCATTGTCAAGTGGATTATTACTTAATTTATCAGATGATTTTAATCAAACTCCAGTAGTTAAAAAGAAACATTATTTACCATCAAATGGCATGGTTGTAAGATGTTCCTTCAGTCCTGTAGTCGACCACCACCAACTGTCCGGGGATGGATTCCCCACGCGTTGGGTGGAAGTTTCCTCATGTGCTCCATGATGTGGGTTTACAGCTGTTAGGATAATGGTTCAATCATTTGTAATTTTTTACTGGCTCAGCCACCTCCCAAATATATTGAGCTTCTATTCTTCTGTCTTCTATACCCAGTCTCTCTCTTTTACAAATATATAGATAGCAAGGAGCAGAGTCAAGTGGGAACTTTGGTTGGTTGACTGGTTAATGGATTTCCTAATCCACTTCTTCCACATCATCTTGATATTGGAAGGTGTGTTCTTGCTACAGAGTACCACAATCTTCAGGGGCAAAGCAGCAACAGTATTGGCAGAAACAACAACTTGCACCTTTAATTCGGTTTTGACTGAAGCCAATGAATAGACAGAATTTTCTTATATTGATCCATATAACCATAGACAACAATCAATTTCCTTTTGTAATTGTATTCTTTTTGTTATATTAGATTATTAGGCAGTTAGCTCAGGACAGAGCAATTCAGGAACGTAGAAAGTGAAAATGCAATTTGATCTCATTACAGGGCTTTGTGATATAGGAAAATACATTATAAATATAGAACATCCTATGTTTCCTGTTAAAGGTGCAGTTGTTGAACCACAAAGAGATAATGCTAGAAAAATCCAACTACAACCAACACCAAAACAATACTACAAAACTGAAATCAACAAACACCTTCACCTGAAAGTAGAATCGTGCCAATAATCAAATGAATGTGTTTGCATAATTGGCATCAATTCATGAGTGAAGGCCAGCACAAGAAAAGAGAAAAGAATGTTCAGAAAAAAGATAGATAGAATGACCTAAATTTTCAGAAGTATCTAGTGAGTTTGGGTTTCAACTTAGAAGGCTTAGCACTTTCTAAAATACAGGCTGCTTTAAGATATCTGAATCTTGCACCGAAAAATTGAGAAACCTCACTAGTCACTTTTGAAATTTAAGGCCAAAATGCTCAATCCCAGCAGCCCAGACTACTTACATGTCTACGCAATCAGCAGAGAACACCAAAGAAGTCCACACAGATTGGATGGGTGAAAGTGAAAGTAGAGTTGGCTTACTATGTGGAACAGAGCCCAAACATTCAACTGAGAGATATGAAGCAAAAGGAAATTCCGAACCTTAAGGAAAGAAAAACCCCAAAGGAAACTGAGTTTGTGTTAGAATTTTTTCCCTTCGTTTGACAGAAGCCACATATTCCCAAGATCTGTCTGTGTAGCAAGAACCTTGTCACACAAGGACAGTCCAACTATAATGGGACAATTAAAATAGATAACACATCTTAACAATGTTTAACTTTTCTTCCACCTGCTACTACCCACACAATGCTGTCTTCTCACAGTAAAAAGTATGCTAGCTTTCTGTCATTAATCTCATATGGAAATTTCAGAGAGGGAAAATAATTTTTGAGACAGCGGATCACATATAGTTCTTATGTTTTCTATAACATTAGTCAATGAAATTCTATTTAATCATGTTAACAATGGGTACCGTCAGCATCTATTCATCTCACACTATGAATTGATAAAAACAACATTTTCACAAGAGACTTAACTATTTCATTGTTCATCTTTAAAATATCCTAAAAGCAAAATTGGAAAGCACGAGACTTTTACAACTCTGTTTCAGCGAAGATAGATGCAGAGATCAGAAATGTAATGCAGACTCCTGCACAGAAGAGAAATGTTACAACACTAAAACTTGTTTTGAAGGCTGACAGCTAAATAAGCCACAAAAAAATAAATTTGTCCTGCTGTAACATTGTAGCACCAGAAATGCTGTTTGAGTAACACAGGACAGATTTCAAAGGTGTGTTCTTTTGCAGGGAGTCTACTCAGTAGTATAGTACATCTAATATCCCAGTTAGATAAAGCACTTAAATATATTCTCAACTTTACCCATGTGGGTCATATGTTTCTGGTCAAGAAATCATTTAAGCATATATTGAACTTCAAGAGGGTGACTACTTCCACTGAGGCCCGCAGGTCTCAAGTACATATTAAAAGTTAAGCATGTGCATCAGTAATTCGCTGATTTGTGGCCTAAATTTGCAGTACAGCAAAGAAAAAAATATTTCATTATTCTTACTGGTACTTGGAGGATGCAGTTTCTTGTCACCACTGTGGTCTCCTCCAAGAGAAATTACTGCTACTAATGGATCCTGTGTTGAGTCATCATCTGCACCACCATCCTGTGAGCTGAGATCTGCTATAATGATGTTAAATGTACCATGAAGTTTTCATTTGCTGAGCCATCATCCACATAATTTTCAGATTTATTTTTTTCCTGTCTCTCATCGTAAAGAAATGTAGCAAAGTAGACAGTTTTTAATTTCTCATGCACAAAAGATCACTTTTTTCAGTCTGGCAAACCTCTCAGTAACATTAGGCTTATCATTAGTAGCTACAGTGTTCTGAATATAGATTGTTTTCCCCTCACACACAATTGGCCAAACAACCACAACAGCAGAAGGCAATGTGTTCTATAAGATATGGGATTATAGGAGTAAAAACTAATCAAGAGCATTTAAATGCTCCTCTAAACACAAGGTTAATTGATTAAATTTATCCAACAGAACCATTTGTTTCTGCAACTATGAATAAATGTTCCAATATACAAGTTAAAAGGATGTATATAGTGTTGTTTTTAGCAAGGCCTAAATCTCTTGAGTTATACTGGAGGTGACAGGACAAAAGAGTTTTATCTTGACTAACAAAGGATCCCACAAAGGCTTATGCCCTAATGAATTTGTTAGTTTCTAAGGTTATGTCTACACAGCAGGCTAAAGATGAATTAAGCTACGCAACTTCAGCTACATCAATTGCGTAGCTTAAGTCAAAATAGCTTAATTTGGCTTTTGGCACTATTTACACAGCAGGAAGTGAAAGGAAGAGCACTCTTCCTTCAACTTCCTTCACTCTGTGTAAAATGAGGGTTACAGGAAACAGAGTAAGAAGTCCTCCAGGTCACCATTATTTCAAAATAATGGCTTTGTTATTTCGGAATAACGAAATAATGCTGCTGTGTAGAAGTACCCTAAGGTGGCACGACACTCCTTTTTGTTTTTGCAGATGCAGACTAACCAGGCTACTCCTCTGAGACTTTTCAAAGGATCCCAGGAAAGTACAGTTTCAAGTACATTTAGTTTGGCATAAATGTTCTCTTCCTTCCAAATAATCTTCACAGTGAAAATCTTCATATAAAAATACATTAAATCCTTAACCTCGATGTGCATTTTTAAAAAGACTATTCCTGCTTCTTTGTTCATGCAGTGAATAAAATATTCACTGCCATCTAGAAACTAACTAAAAAAATCATCAAAGCACATCACAAACAATGAAGAGAACTTCTGAAGTCCAAATATAACTTTCATTTATACAGAATTCTGTCCTTTTAAGCTATGACCACTTTATAGCCAAGGTCATATCGTCCAGTATCAGCTGGCTAATATCACAGCCAAGGGGGAGGTGGAGGATGTTTTTTTCTCCATTCAAAACACAATTTAAGATTATGGCATCAGAAATACAAATTCATGGTGACTGGATATTCTTGTCAAGCGGCTATTTCTGTGCTGCTATTTATTTAGTGCTTATGTTGTTACAGATATACCGCTTACTGTTTTAAAATAAATGACTTTCTAAAGCCAATGTATTTATTATTGTGCACATTTTAAATCGTCTTATCACTGCAGTAGCTAGTTATCTAGTAGGTAAGTTTTCACTTGTGTTTTTCCATTAAGCTTTGCCCTTTGCATATGCTATATAATAGTAAACTAGATTAGGACCTCAAAAATCAATAGGTTAATTCTGATGAATACATAGTGAATACAAAAGACTGAGTTATTCCTACTGGAAACAGAAACAGGGAACACATAAGCCAAACCAAGCCAGTATCAGAAAGGCTGTTTGGCTGCCTCTTCATATCTATGCAGCATTTATACTTCCATGTTGCCTTCCACTCAGCTTTATCAACAAACCATAAGCAAAGCAGCTTATGTGAGATTATATAAATTCTTTACCATTGCTGTCAGTTATTGGGTGCTGTTCCTTGGAATTTAGAGACTGCCACCATGGGGTGGTGGTTTCAGGATATGTGTAATGGTCGTGATCCACAGCTGTTGGAGTAATAGTTAAATCAGTGTAGGACACTTTACTGCTGAGCCTTAACATATACATTATTGTAGCTCTCTACACTTGGTAAGTGTCTTTTACTAGTCTATATAGTAGAGAAACAAGAGAAAAATAGAGATGTCCCTCTGCTTTGTTCAGCTGAATCACTCATTTTCTCATCCATCCATTCACAGCATCCTGATATTAGGACATATGAAGTTTCTGGAATTTCTCCCAGTAATACAGCAGTAAGTAACCAGAACAAAGGAAGTCACCAAAAACTAGAATAGCAGATCAAATAGCAGCAACCTTTCTATTATTTGAGTATTCCTCTAAGTCATCTTTTGTTAATGCCATTAAAACTACATGGCTTTCAGCTCAATATAAGACACAGTAGCATGTCACTGTTCTAACAAAAAGATTAGTGCAAAGAAACCAGAGGCTACATAGTGCAAAGAGTGCTGGACATTAAACATCAGCTCAAAGACAGATGAAGTCACAAAGATTTCCACCATAAAACAGCAAGAAACCAGGAAAAAAATCCCAAAGTAAAACTTGTCAAACCAAATACTGCAGTCTCTATACAAGTGAGATGCCCCTGATTGTAAGATCTGGCCTTTAGTTCTTTTAGATAACCTTCTCCCTTTAACCGAGATTTGTTGATATAAAGTTTCTTTGATATCTGTAGATATAAACATCTTTGCAGAATGAGAGGTGAATTCCAGGGCTGCGTCTAGACTGGCAAGTTTTTCGCAAAAGCAATTGCTTTTGCGCAAAAACTTGTCAGCTGTCTTCACTGGCTGCTTGATTTTGCACAAAAGCACTGGTGATCTACTGTCCGAAATCAGTGCTTCTTGCGCAAATGCTTTGACATTCCCGTTTGGGCAAAAGCCCTTTTCTGGAAATGTTTTTGCACAAGAGGGCCAGTGTAGACAGCTAAAAACTGTTTTGCGCAAAAAAGCCCCGATGGCAAAAATGGCGATCAGGGCTTCCTTGTGCAAAACCGCGTTTAGATTGGCCCGGACGCTTTTCCGCAAAAAGTGCTTTTGTGGAAAAGCGTCTGTGCCAATCTAGACGCTCTTTTCCACAAATGCTTTTAACGGAAAAACTTTTTTCCGTTTTGCTTGGGTGGTGGTTTCAGGATATGTGTAATGGTCGTGATCAACAGCTTTTGAGTAATAGTTAAATCATAGTTAAATCAGTGTAGGGCAATATGTAGATGGTATCATGAGCTTTCATGGGCACAGCCCACTTCTTCAGATGACCGGAGTTATGAGTTTAGGATGTGCACTATATATTTTGGGTCTGCATATCCTAAAATCTTAACTCCGGTCATCTGAAGAAGTGGGCTGTGCCCACGAAAGCTCATGATACCATCTATATGTTTTGTTAGTTTATAAAGTGCTACCAGATCATTTGTCAGTTTTTTCTTCTCGCTAAGTTATGTTGTCAGTAGGTATACCATTAAAATCAAACTCTGTATTTCAAAACACATTAAAAAAAACCAGTCTGAACAGTATCTTACTTTAAACTCACAGAATTTGTTATGCATTCTGTCCCATCCATAACATAAGGCAACAGTCTCAGCACTCTCACCTCTGTGACTGAGGCCAGAAAACAAAACCAGCTTCTCACCAAAACACTTGAGTGTTAGATGCTTATTACAGTGCTCACCTGCTATTGCCCCTGTCACAGCTAGAAATAGGTTCAACACTTATTGCCATGGTATCTCTCAGCAACACTCAGCAAAAGACATAGCATCTGAAAGCAGGAAGTGCCACTGATTTCAATGAAAACAACGAGGAGTCCTGTGGCACATTAGAGACTAAGGAGGAAGGGGAAGGTTAGGCATGAAATCTTATGCCTTAATAAATCTGTTAGTCCCTAAGGTGCCACAGGATTTCTCATTGTTTTTGCAGATTCTTTCTAACAAAGCTACCTCTGAAACTTTTCAGCATGCAAGGCACTGATTTCAGTGGAAAGCCTCACCTTTCTCACACATCATTATATTCCAGCTGAGATTTATACCACCAGGCTAATTGCATTACTCAGAAAATATGACACTAATAAAGATCAACAGCTTAAATAAATACTACCTGCATCTGTGTAAAAGCAGTACATTTAACCCTTTTCTAGATTAGTGCTCTCTCAGAAAGGGTGACAGTGTTTTACAGAAGAAAAATGGTTTTTTCAGTTCCACCTTTAAACAGTTACAAATGATGCACAATAGAGATGGAAACAGAAAGTTTGGAAAACCTATGTATTTCTGAACATAAGGGTTTTAAAGTGCCAGCCCAGAAAAAAAGCAGAAAAGTTTACTTAATTAACATAGGGGATTATAATTCAATATCCTTACAGGTGTCTGTGGGATGGTCTTCCCTAGCCTTATTGTATCTTCTTCAGGAAGAAAGCCATGATTTAGCTGGCTTTGTCTAAAATCTTCATCATCAGTAATAATCTGCTGTGAACCCTCATCTCCTATGATGATGTTAAACCTAATATGAACTTTCAGATAATGAGCCCAGACAAATGTATCTTCATTTCTTCATCTTTTTGAACAGATATTACACTTTTAGTAGAAGAAAGCTGAAGGGGTGTGGAAAGAAGAAATTGCAGAAAACCCATCTATTCAGAAGATGTGATTTTGTTGGAAATTATCCCTAAATAATGATCAAGGATTCACAACAACAGAAATTGCTGTATTCTACTAGCAAAGAAAGTCAAAATAACGCATCCTTGGATTTGAAATGTCTCTGAAATAGCATGATTATGATTTTCATTAGAAGAGATACTAATGACGTGTCATATGCATAGGATTATGAACATTTAATTGTCGGAGCAAAAAGGAGGAGAGATTATTTTGGAAGAAACAAATCCAAAACTAAAATATCTTCAATGAAGACAGAAAATGAAGAAAAGAAATCCCACAATACATGTAAGTACAAATTTTCCTCTCTCTTTGCTTCTGCAGGAAAAGTATGATAAATACCTTACTATAACATACAATTTTAAAATAATCACCTGTTCACTTATTCAAGTCATCCACTAATAAAATACTTCTTCTTTCAGCCAGAACAAGCTAGTAAAGAAAATTGCTTATGGTGCTGAGATATCACATTCATTTATGAGTGGTTCCCTGTTGAGTATTCCCTTTAATGGTGAACTCCAAATTCACCATATTATTCTGATGGGTGAAAGCATAAAAGTATAAATAAGTTTGGGTTGCTCATACTGGAGAGAGATGCTGAGGATCTATGTTAAGGAGTTACAAGTGTTGGCAACCACTCCAGATTTATCCACACAATACAGAATCATAGAATATATAAAGTAGTGTTGGAAGGGACTTCAAAAGGTCATGCAATCCATTCCTATGTGCTGAAGCAAGACTAAATATATCTATCCCATCGCTGACACATATTTGTCTAGCTTGTTCTAAAAAACTTCCAGTAACAGGGGATTCCATAAAGCATTAGTAATAAATTTAAAAAAAAACACAACTAGGATGAGAAAATCTGAATGATAACCATTTGCCATTTGCTCTGGGGCTCCGTTTTTGCTCAGGTTTGACAACAGGCAGTGGACGGAGTACATAAGGTAAAACGATTATAATGGATTACCATGGCCAGCAGTGGAGGGACGGTCTTCCTTGTGATCTGCAGAGTGCCGGCGGGAAGGAAAAAATCCAGGCATCTGATGGTCTTAAGTAGAGTTTCCATGAGGAGAGTCCTCATATGCCTCAATGGTGGTTGAATCAATCATTGAACATCTGATTTACTAACCTAGCACTTCCAATACTTTATTCACTTTTTCATCTTGCACAACAACTTGTCTTTTCCCTTTCTACATAGTAAAGAAAGACGATGACAACCAGTAGCACCTTCTAGTTTGTTCAGCAATTTTTTTTTCATCAATTCGGTCACTTCGTCCTGAGAGCAAGGAGGGGTGAGCACATCCCAGCACTAATGGGCAAAGCAGCTGCAACTACAGCAAAGGAAGGCGATGCAGCAAAAAGACTAGCAGCAATAACGGCAATCAAGTATCCAGAGTAGCACAACATATGAGAGCAGGATGAAGATATGAAGTAGGGTCCAATGCATTTCCAGTACCAGGAAAAAAACCAGTCCCTAGCCTAAGAGCTTTTTATTTATTGAGCCATCAAAGGTGTAATTTGTATCTATCATTTTTACAGTAAGCCTAGCTGTCCTGTTGGGACTTATTTAAATCAGGAGTGAGAAACTGTTACTAACTGGGATTGGAGGAAGAAATGTGATGAAGAACATATTCAGTGAGATGTTAAATGTGCAAAGCACCTCTCAAGAGCTTATCTACTGGAAGCAGAATATGGGAATAAATGGCCAATTCAGATAACATGAGAAAAGGCGATTAGCTGCCAGATCCTATCAATGCAGGGTATATCACATATGCTACAGTTTATCAGTGTTAGCATGTTACTCCATATGAAGGACATTAGCTATAGTTGTAATGTTTTACCATTGCTGGCAGAGGTGGGTCGCTCTTCCTTGGGACCTGTAGAGTGTCATGTCCAAGGAATAAATCCAAAAATCCACTGGTCTTGAGTTGAATTTTCTCCATGATAAGAATCTTCATCTGCTATGATGATGGGTGAGTGAATTATTTGCCACACAACCACCCCATTATTATTTTCAGCTTTTGCTCTTCTGACACTCAGAGCTTGTCTACGTGGGGGAGACTTGGGAAAATTAAGACAAATTAGTTAAAGGAGTAAATTTAAGGTGGATTAATTAAATTGCATTAAACTGCTGTGTGGGCACTCATTCAGAATTAATGAGTAATTTAAACTAAACCAAATTAAAGCCACTTTAATTCTGAATAGGAATATCCTCACAGGGATTAAATGCAATTTTACAAACCCACTCTAAATTCATTCCTTTAGTTACTTGGTTTAATCTTCCTGATTGTCCTTCTATGCTGAAGCCCATAGTCTTTGTCCTTCATTGGTAAATATTGTGGAGAAAGAGGAGGACAGCAGAGAAAAGCATAAGTATTCTTTACCATTATCATTGTTGTTTTCCTATCCATCCAAACACATCATTTTGGGATTAGAAAATGACAATTTGGTGGAGGGCATCCCAGTGATAACAAGGAAAGCAGAATCAGTTACATCAGAGGAAGCAGATGCATCAAAAGACCAAGTAACAGATTAAAATGGTCATTTCCTTCTTGCTGGAAAGACACTCTTGGGAGTGCACTGATAGTTATTTTTTCAACATATCAGAAGGGTTTCAGACTACAAATTATTACAGTTATTGGGAAGCTCCTTATCCATGTGTCTTTAAACTTTCTAGTTATGTGTGTCTTTCCTGTCTCACTTGCACAGGAATGTATGCTATCCGGGCTATAAATTCCTCAATACCTGTCTCAAAGGTGTCTGCTGGAAATGTCTCTAAGCTTCTCAAGGGAATAAACATATTCTCCTCCTGCTTACTCTAAGCAGTTTGACTGACTTGCTTATGGTTTCAATCCATAGTTCATTAATGATATTCATTGAATCTGCAGCGCTTGCATGAGCTGGTTGCAATGAGATGTGACCATTAATTTTCTCACTTGTGACATTCTCTCTACTTCACAAAATTACTTGGGTAAAGAGCATTCAGAACAATTTGGAATTGGGCTCAGTGTCTTTATATAGTATAGGATTCAGCACAATAACATCTCATTGTCTGTAAAAAAAAAAAAAAGACAGAGCCCTGTTTTACATTAAAAGAGCCCATTGTTGTTACTTCTTGTTTTAATTCCCCATTGGTTGTTTCTTCTTGTTCTTCACTTCTTTTTGAACTGCAGACATGTTCTTAAAAATAGCCACAAGAAGCACCACTACTGCCACCACAGCTTTTCTACTGAAGTTTTGCCATTGATTTTAATTGAATAAGCTTTGGGCCTTTAATCATGTTAGTATTACCATGAATGTTAAAAGGAAATGAGCCAGGTGTTAAGCAAACTGCCAAAGCAAATTAAGATTTTAGAGTCAAATCCTGCATTCATTTCTCCAGAGAAAAATCTACCCGCGGACCTAAAAAAGTGAAAAACGATACCAGGACTCGGTCTCTCGTTATTTTAGATGTTTGTCCCCTGCCACATCCTAATCAAGTCTTATGATACCAATGACCTGAGGACAGAAAAAAAACCTTTCTGCACACACATGTCCCAATCCAGCACAAGCAACTGTAATAAAACAACTATTCTCCAAATAGCCATGAGATACAGGTTTCAGAGGCAGTGTTTAGCTACAGATCCCTACTTCTTCACAAAGCAGGATTGTTGAGGTCTGCAGAGTTTGGTTCATCCCATTATTGAGAGAGGGGAAACCAGGACATTCTGATTTGGATCTGTTCTTGTAATTTTGAGTCAGCAATATAGAAGGGGTTGTTATCTGGGGTTTGTCCCAATGCCTATTTCTACTAATTACTAACTCTATTCACAGGGCTTCTACTTGTCAGGGTTCAATTATTTTCATTTTGATGGTTATTTTTAGCAATTTTTTGTGTTTCATGTAGAAGTCCAAAACGTGGGATGTTTTGGGGCTCTTTCTTTTTATATATTGTAACAAGTACCCTCTTTTTAAGAAAACTTCTTACTTACTCCTCCGTCTAAGATTTGCTCTAGTGCACTTTAATGTAGTACTATTCCCAATAGCATTATGTTAAAGCTTCTATGGCAACCTTTACTGAGCCCCAGAGTATCTAAATTAATGTGCCACACATTAGTGCACCTTAGAAATCTCACCCCTGTAGGATATATAAGAGCTCTGGGTAGACAAGCCCTGAGATTCACACAACAATTTCTGGTGCATTCTCCATGTTCATTGGCTAAACACCTATTGGTTGATTGATTGGTTGTATTTGGAGGTCTTTTATGAGCATTTATCAGTTAAATCCTAAAATCATAAGCCCTAATTATCCATTAAAACTGATGTCCATGTGTAACCCCCAGACCTACTGGGTGTGGTTCACTGTCCCATGCAGTGGCACGTAGGCACTTAGGCTGTGTCTAGACTGCAGGCTTCTTTCGAAAGAGGCTCTTTCGAAAGCATCTTTCGAAAGAGCCTCTTTCGAAAGATCGCGTCTAGACAGCAGGCGGATCTTTCGATAGAGGAAATCCGCTTTTTCGAAAGAGAGCACCCAGCGAGTCTGGATGCTCTCTTTCGAAGACGGCCTCTTTACATTGAAGAACGCCTTCTTTCGAAAGAGGAACTTTCGAAGGAAGGCGTTCTTCCTCGTGAAACGAGGTTTACCGCCATCGAAAGAAAAGCCGCGTTCTTTCGAAATAATTTCGAAAGAACGCGGCTTGAGTCTGGATGCAGGGGAACTTCTTTCGAAAAAAGGGTACTTTTTTCGAAAGAACCCCTGAGTGTGGACACGGCCTTAAAGTGAGAGAGCACAAATTTCCTCTACAGCCTTAACTGAGAGAGAGCTGGCTTTTAGCTCCAGCGGTTCCAGGTTCAGTTTCACCTGTTGGGTGCCACGCCTACACTCAGACAATAACAAATTATTAGAATAGACAGACAGATCTGTAGACATCTAGTGACCACCCCATCTCTTATTTCAAGTGCAGGTGAGGAAAACATAATTTCATAGAGGAGATAAATTACTTGCACTGTAGACCCAACAAATTTATAAAAAAGTTATGGAACTCAGAATACAGTGCTTTTAAAACCTGAAACCCAGGTGTAGAGCAGAGATATTCATTCTCCGCAATTGATCCTGAGCAGTCTTAGGGGTTAGCATGTTGCTAATGCCATTCCTGGAATTGGTGCCACACAAAGTCGAGGTGCTGATGTCACTGAACCTGCAGAGGCTGCTTATCCTGATACCCTGGCACATCCACAAATAGAGTATGAAAGAGAGAGAAAACCACAGTGGTGGTGGTGGTGGTAATGTCTTCTCTAGAGTGCTGTGGATGCTTTTCTTCCTTTCAGGGTCTGGTGAAGGAAATTAAAATCTGGATAAATTCACTGAGCAGGAGAAAAGTGGATTGTCTGCCAGGCTCCTTCAGGGAGGGGTTTCCCCTTTTTGCATTGCTCTTTACATTGGTTACTTGACAGACCATATAAAAAGTATCTTAAATAAAATGATTGCAATATAGTACCCTTGAAAGCTATGCTGGGATGCTCCTCTTTGTGATCTGTAGCATGCCGCTGCAAAGGAATAAATCCAGGATTTTGTTGACCTTGAATAGAGTTTTCATGATGAGCTCCAATGTAAGGAGTCCTCATCTGCTGTAATGATGGCTGGATGAATTATCAAGATTTTATTTAATGAGCCACTGATCACAATATTTTCACTTCTTTGTTCCTCTTTCACCAGATCTTTTTCTTTCTCTTGTGTAAAGAATAAAGCAAGAGGACAGTAGACAGGTCCCTCTGTACCATTCAACATTATCACTGTTTTTTTCCCCTCATCCATTCATTCACAACAGCCTGAGGTCAGAGTTGTGAAACTGATGGAGGACATCCCAGTGATAATGTGCAATGAAGCTGCAGTAACAGAGGAGGAAATAGCAATAATGGCAAACCAAGTGGCAGCAGTAACTTGCCATTTCAAATGCATTGTAGAGATATAAAGAGAGGTTAAGAATGGACCTAGCATTAAATCACAAGTAGTCTTGTCAATAATATGTAGTTAGTAGATAAAGAAATAATAACAAGAAGAATATTTGATAAGCTTGTAGTTACAGCTTTGCTTACTAGTGTACATTGCAGCTCTTGGACAATTCATGATGATTACCTGGATCAATTATAAAAAATAGTACACCAATCATAAAATATATGATACAATATATTAACCAATAGCATTATGTGTGTCCATAAGCTAATTCTTGATTATGCTTTTTTAGATGTATTATACCCTCTACCCACCCTCTATTCTCAAACGTAGTTTGACTGTGTGCCAATAAGTGAACATTATATTACATTGATTTCTTCTATTCCAGAAAACCAGATAAAGTGATCTCCAAAAACAGATCCAGATGTTCTGATTGAGTCAAGTCAAGTGGAAAAAGTCTCAAGAAATTTCAATAAATTCCTCCACTGTATTACTTTCTCCTTTCAGCAACATCTATGTCCCTGCATGGACACATAGGTAGGGATGTAAGCGACTAGTCAACTATCCGATAAGCTTATTGTGATGCACAAGTGCACTGGATACTGGAGGAAGACATCACAGGGAGTTGATTTTTATATACCTTAACAGTTATTCAAGAGCAGAGCAGGAAACAGGGCTAAAGCTCTAATGAGTACTAGAGGAAAGCTCTCCAACTAATGTCCCTTCAAAGCATCCCAAAGTCCCAGAGACTTGGCATAAACAACACCCCATGCGGGCATGCTGCAAACAAGAACTTGGAAATGCAAGCTATCTCTATATACAATGCACGAGCAGGATGGCACCTCCAACCTCCCTCAAAGAACCTCGTAAGTGAGTTAAGTCAGGATTTTGACCTCTGCTGCCTATCACAGAGCCATGAATGAGCTATAAACCACACATTGATGAACCAAGTATCCGAGCACATAAACTCATAAAGGGGCAGAAATTCCATTTTCACATACAGTGTCTTCAAGCGGTGATGAACAGAAGTATCTGCAGCCATAAACAAATTAAATGATATTGCTCGGTATAGGCTGAACTGATGTGACACAATATAACATGAGAGATATACACCAAAGAGGCCACGAATCACTTCTTAACTTTAAACCCAAGTGACTCATCAAACTTTGTCTCCTCTTATCCCTTCTGATCACCAGTGACTGCCATCGTACCACAGATCTCATTCCTGATTTAACCACCCCAGGAAGCTGTTTTCTGTTCCAATGCTGAAGATGGTAAGTACCTAGCTACTTACCAGAATATCCTGCCAGAGTGAGAGAGTAGGTTAAATACAGACTGAAACTGGCAAAGTTATTACAATTCATTAGTCTTACTAGTACTTGTGGGATGTGGTCTTTTGTTAGGATGATCATTGTCTCGTTCAGTCATCAGTGAAATCTGAGTGGAATCTTCATCAAGTGGTGCAATATGATCTGTGTGATGAAGGGTAAACCAACTGTCACTTTTTGTTTGCTGAACTACCTCTCCTGCTGTTTTCATGGTTAGTGATTTCACACTATAGAATGCCTAGCTCTTTCATTTGTTGGACCATTGGAAGGGTAAAAGGACAGGAAACTGGGGCCTTTATGTAGTTTATCATTAAATATAATTGATTTTCTAATCTTGGTATCTAGTAACTAACACACTGATTGTTCAAAGGAAAGGATGTATTTGCAGCACCCCAATGATAATGCCCATGGCAGGGAAGGTGGCAAAGACAACTGATTCACTTAATTAAGGCTGGATTTATGTTCATTTAGCTCTGGCACCTCTGAATCTGGACTCCCCCAAAGTGCTTGAGGCAATTTGTAATTTTGCCACTATCATTGCCTATTTTGAGCTTTGGTCCAGCTGTAAGCAGAAAAGAGGAGAATTCCCATAGAGAGCAGTGGAAGGATAATTCATGAAATTTGACAGGAAGTGTTCTGACTTTAATTTCCATGGAGAGAATAGCAGCATTACCCTCCCATGGTATTTTGATATTATCGGTAAGCTATGTAGAGAAGCAGGCCCAAAGTCTCACAAGTACTGTATCAAGAGCAAATCAACTTTATACTTTGTCAACACTTCCACTCAATAAAACAATTAACTAAACATTTTAATAGATAGATAGGACAATGACATGAACTTTTGGTATCTTCTACTTGGAAATAAAAGCTTGTCTCCACAGCCCAGAGGATGCTTTCTCCTACAGAGGAAGGATGGTTGGTCTTTTGGTTAAATTGCTGAAACAGGACTAAAGAAACCTAGCTTAAATCCACACTTCCTGTAGGATCTTGGGCAAGTCACTTAGTTTCTCTGTGTCTCAGTTCCTCTTTTTCTAAAATGGAGATCATACAGCACTTCCCAATTTATGAGGGCAAATTCATTAATATTTGTGAGACCTGCATGTACTCAATTCGGCTTACAAAATATGAACAGCTAATAGGCGCTTAATCATCAACATAAAGAGAGATTAAATTAGAAAATCTACCATATATGCCTTGACGGCAAAAGAAAAGGAAAACCGAGAAAGTGAAAAAATATCTTCTATTCACCCACACAGCTTTTGCTTTATGCCATGCCTATACAACTCTCTGGTTATCCCAGACCCAATTGTCTTTTCTAAGGCTTCATGGATGTAGCTCAGGGCAGATTTTGGTTCCTGGTATACAGAATCCCTTCCCTATCTGCTGGAAAAAGAAGCACTATAAGTGGAAGGTTGACAGCACCAACAATTTCCCACAAATTGATCACACTGGAAAATAGATAAGACTACTCGAGCGTAATCCCTAGGTATTGAAATCTTACCCTCCTGCTTCTGTACTTGCTTTTCCAGATTCTTCTGGTAAAACACTTTATTGTGTTCATCTCTTGCCCTTGGATCTGTGATATTTATTTGTTACAGAAATAATGTTTTGCTAGATTTCATTGAGCCTGATCTGTCTCCCAGTGAAATCTATCATAATAGTTCCACTGATTTCAGTAGGAGTAGCATCAGGGTTCTTGGAAACATCCATTATCACCATACAGTGAAATTATTCCCAGAGGAAGAAAACCAGATTTTTTTTGATGTGTGATTGGTTCACACACTCATGTTATGATGAAATGTCCTTAGAAAGTGAAAATTTTCTATGATCACAATGATGCACAACTTTTTCCTTTCCAATTCTTTCTCAAGAACCCTGGGAATCCAGGACAGAGATTGTGCTCTCTCTTTGCCATGTCTATAGTGCTTACAAAGCCTTTTCAGATCCCAAGACTGTTTTCTTAAGTGAGGCCCATTGGCATTCTAAGAATAGAATCTGGGGTAGAGAAATTTTTCATCCAATTATTTTAAGAGGACACACTGACTATAATAGTTATAGTCTATTATTCTTACTGGTGCGTGTGGGGTGATATTCCTTTCTGCCCGATCCTGAAGAATAATCTGTTGATGGCACTTCATAATATGGAGAACCAGATATGCGAGTTCTGATGATGGTGGGGTTTGTTGTATCACTGTCATGTATTGAGCCACTACCCACACGATCATCCTCTGTAACTGGAGTTGGCTCAGTGTGTCTTACACCATCCATGTAACGTGAGCCATCCGCATTATCTATGACTGTTGGAAGGAAAGAGATCAGTTTAAATATCTTAGGCTTTGATAGTGAATGTTGGAGGCAACAGGGCTATGGTGAGGCAACAGGGCTATGACCATAGTTGTAGTCATATTTGATATCAACCAATTTTTTTTCTGTCTGTCCATTTCATCCTTCACTGATCTATGGTAGTTCTGATTTGTGTATGTGTAATCCACACACCATCTGGGTTTTGTTACTGTCCCATGTGTTCAGTTTTTTCATTATATTCCTTTGGTATACATGGTCATGCCAATTCTCTTTCAGAATATGATCTGAGGAAGTGGGTCTGGCCCACGAAAGCTCATCACCTAGTAAACCATCTTGTTAGTCTTTAAAGTGCTGCATAGTTTTTCCTTTTGTCCCATCTAGAGGCATTGAGACCACTTACAGAGAGAATAATGAGTTTTCTCTACAGCCTTAGCTAAGAGCTAGCTGGCTTTAAACTCATGCACTAAGCTCCAGAGGTCCCAGGTTCCATTCTGCCTGTTGGTGTTACATATTCATCACAATAATGGGCCCAGTTTGGTAATGGGTTAAAATCTGGATTAACTTTCATGGTGAAATCTTGGTACCATTGAAGTTGGTGGTGAAACTTCCATTGACACTAATGGAGCCAGGATTTCATCCTCAGTTCCTCTCCAGGCTAGCAATCTTAGGCATGATATGGAGGGTACACAATCTGTTTAGGACACAGAAGACTTAAATAAAGCTCTTTCATCAAAGAAGCACTATCCGGCCTTTATTTATTAAAAACAATGTAGTGTCAATATGGAGAATATACTTCACTAGTACCACCTCAAGATGAATGCTGTCACATTCAGCCTAATTTGGGGAGGAGGGAATGAATGTGTGATTGCTTCACTTGCAGCATATTACCATCTCTGAACTTGCTTTTCTTACATCTAGCATGATCTTGAACATCTGCATTGCTTATATACAGAAGAGAAACCTGGTAACTGAAAATGGAATCAATACTAATCATTCACTTATGCAGTACTTTACCTATTTTGGTATGATTATCAGCCCAAGAAGCATCAAACCTTATGATTGGTTCACATGCCTGGTCCCTGGTTTCTGAAAGGAGATGGGGACAGAAGATATTAATTAATTTGACAAAAGGTGGCAAGAAAAATTCAGTCTCTTCTGCCCTATTTATTAGATTCAGAGTTGTATCAATGATTTACTAGAATCATTTCTTGGGGTCTTGTCTTCTCTAATAAGTGAGTTTGAGAAAACTAAGAATTTTGTAAACATTTTTAAAAGGGACAAAATTGGTTAATTGTAATCAAATTTCAAAAAAATTACTCTCCACATTCTCAGTTTAGACCAGATCCTCAGACCAGGGCAAGCCCTTTTTGCCACTCTAGCTGTCCCCAAAGACTGAGGATAGTGTGGTTCCTCTGTACTGGGGACATTCTGGGGTAGAGAACTTAGGAAATATGATGGGGGTAGAAGAAGCTAACCCTAGGCTTGCAGGACAGTCCTTTCGGGGCCATTCAAATCAATATACATCAGAACAACTGTATGGTCCATTTTAACTCCTTCTGACAGCTCCAGTTTCAGAGCTGGTAGCTCAGAGCCCTTTGCCTTTCTCTACCCAACTCAGGATTAAGCCTGTTGAACTCCAGAGCGTGGAATGAGGCTTCAGACAGGAGATATCAAAGCAAATGATAAATTCAAAAATTATATCACTATTTAAATCCCCATTGAAATTGACCTACAGATTTTTGTGCAGTTGCTTTTATTTATACCAGCTCTGAATATGAACAATAGATTTAATAAAATCTAATCAACTCATTCAAGCCAGTCTCATTTTCTTCACACATTTCCTGTGCCCAGTTATTGTAGCACAAATACTGAGCAAAATTACTACCAGTTTGATTCTGGACATTTTAATTTTGCAGGGGTCCTTTTTGGCCCTCCTATGGCACAGAAAAATAAAGAAAATTAGAAAAAAATATGATTAAAAAACATAACTCCACAAATTAGTGGCCTGCCTCTGAACTTATAATACTAATGAAGCTGAACAACACTTGATTTTATGTTTGCCAGCGGCCTCGTGCAAGCAGTGAAAGCAAGCGAAGCATCTTCAGGGTCCCTGAGCTATCAGAGCTTGTAAATTTCACTAATATTAACTCAGAAAACATATGAGGGGGTACAAGAATGAGAGGAGTGGAAATCATCACATTCAACAATTCTGTGTTCTTTGGATCCATATTTGTGGCATTTCCCTGCTAAAAAGATAATTATTGGGATTCAGAATCAGAAATCAAATATGAACACAGAAAATTGTTTAGTTCAAAGTACAGGCAGTATAATGGGCCAAAAACATCCGACAGCATCAGCAGGAGCAGGTCCACTGATTTTCAAAATGCAAATGTATCTTCAAATGTGAAAGCAAGACCACAATGTACATTCAATTTAATACGGAAGCTCTGATTCCAGCAACCTATATGAGAGATTGTGTAGGTTACTGTTAAAAATGTTCATTCTCACTTACAGAGTAAAGCAAATACCTACCCGATGCATTGTAACAATATGTATCATACCGGTCCGACGTATTTGAATTGAGTATGTAAATCCCAGTGTAATTTGCTGCACAAAGAAAATAGGGCTTGATCCGTGGGATTACAATTTTGTCTTCTATGAAGCCATACCTGGGAAGGACAGAGAATGAACAACACTGTCAGGAGTGGAAGTGTGCAGCTGAGCATGTCAGCTCGGTCTCCAGGCTGATTAATGAACACAACTACCAGCATAAGTGCATGATAGATTGAGGAACCAACAGGCATGTTCTTAAACCCAGCAGCACCAGCAGGTCACTGGCTACTCATCATTTAAACCCACTGCTGCCTCCGTTCCTGTGCCAGCTTCAGAGGGGTCGGTATATTAGTCTGTTTCAGCAAAAACAATGAGGAGTCCTCATGCATCTGACAAAAGCTTATGCCCTGCTTGTTAGTCTTTAAGGTGCCTCAGGACTCCTCATTGTTTTTCCTGTGTCAGCCTTGTCCCTCTTTGCTCTGGCTCTGTTCATTTCCTGACACTGTTTTTGGCCCTTGGCTCTGAGTCCTGGTGCCTGACTCTGGGTCCTACCACTAGCCTTGACCAGCACTGGTCCGACCATGAGTGACCTTCCCTGCTCAATGGCTGACAAATGGCTTAGTACCATTTTGCACTGGAATTACAAGCTAGAAATGTGGTTTGAGATCATGAGCAAAGATGTGCAGCCACGATTAATAACACGTCAGTCCATGAGAAGTGAAAAACTTATTAAAGTGTTCAGATGCGGCAATATTTCCCCTACAGAATGTTAGCTGAACTCTTTAATATCCCCCTAGATAATATGAGTTGTGAATAATGCTGCCATTGAGTAAGGGGCCCATAAATCAAGCTGAAATTTCAATCGAGCTTGTGGTTAACAAAATTATGTAACAGGTTATTATTATTTTGCAATCCCATATCAAATGACTAAATCCTGTGGAGTTACTGGTTTCCCTGAAATCTTTTTAGATGAGACTGGTGATTAAATGAGAAAGAGCCCTAGGGGTTTGGAGTTGTTTTAAAGCTGCTATTTATCAGGGAGGGGCAGGCATGGTGGTAGCTTCTTGCACTCTGTCTCAGTTGTGGTTCCCCAAGCACTGTTATAGCCCACATCCATGATTCACCTCCACCTGGATCAAATGATGGCAATGATATTCTCAATTCTAAACCTCTATTGCAAGTGGAACAAAGACGATTTCACTGGCACAGACAGATTTTTTTTATTAGTCCTAGATGCTGAATCCTATCACTAAGACTACCACATTGGCGGCGTTATAATAAAAATCTTTGTTGTGTTATGGCCCGCTGACTCATTCACATTCACTCTCTGTTCCGTGTGTGCTTTGACTATTATATGTAATGTATTAATTCTTTGTGTCTCCCACTCGGGCCCATACAGATTGACTTACGGTACTGTACTGAGTTGGATTTAGGGCATTGTATGAGAGGAATACAAAATACAAAGCACCAACAAATTATCTCAAAAAAATAAAATTCAATATCTGTCCTTTTCTAGGTGCATGTATGGCAGGGGGTGGGGTTTCAGGAAAGTGCAGTGAAAGCAAAACCACAGCTCTCCTACAATGTGAGAAAGAGTTCCTTCTATTTCTATAACACTTTAAAAATGTTCCTTTCCATTTTCTTCTCATCTTACATATCCAGTACATAAGACTCGAAAGAGATAGAGGAAGAAAATGCCAATCTGGCCATTCAGCACTTCTCTTTGCCACCGCATGACTGTCCCTCTTGTCTTTCATTTGACAGCATTTTAAATCATCTCTCCACTTCACTGAGGAGACTGTTCTCTACCACTTGCCATCAGGAATTTTTGCCTGATATTCCCTGGCAATATGGCTAACATCATTCTCCCACTGATAGCCACACATATTACTGATTTATACCAGTGAATGAGCACAAAGCATAGTCCTAGTGTAAGGGCAACTAGGATTGCAGGAGATCTTTAAAGATAGATTGCCTATGCATGTGCAATTAATAACAACAGTGCTTGACATTTATACTGCATCACACCAAACATTTTCAAAGCACTGCACAAACTAATTTAATTATTTCTGTGTTAATTAGACTAAGCACTTTCTATACATATGATTTTGTACATTACCACACTAATAGGAAGGCACTTTTATTGATTTCTCATGAATTTGCAGACTTATGCACAGGGAAGGGGATTCAATCAGCTAAAGGACAGAGAAAAACACAACTGCCTTGAATTAAATTTCCAACAGACAAGTCTGCCTTCATACGTAACAACTTTAAACAATATAATCTGGTTTAATTTTTCTGGACTGATAAAAAGTACAAACTACAAAATGTAAAGAGTTGAAGAGATGCCCACCGTTCTTTCTACTCAATAAACTACAGGACAAATCCTGAAATACCTACTCACGTCTTACTCAAATTGAAATCCCACTGACGTTTTTTGATCCAGTTGATTTTAATAAGAGTTTTAGTGCTTTGAGCCCATATTGTTCAACAATGACCCCTCCTTTCTGCTTGCTGTACTTGAATCTTGTCTCCTTTCTGCAACTGCTGTTTTGGGATGACCTGAATAATTCAGAATCATAGATCATATGGCCAGGAAGGATGGCTATGATCAGCTAGTCTGTCCTCCTGCAGAACGCAGAGCATACACAGAACTTCCCTGAATTGATCCCTGTTTGAAATACAACATCTCTTTTAGAAAAGTAGCCAAACCTGATTTTAAAATTCCCAGTGATGGGAACTGCTGGTACTTTGTTCCAATGGTTCATTACCCTCAGTGTTAAAAGCTTACACCTCCACCATACAGCCGTTGGATTGCGTTATATTTCGACTGTTAGACTGAAGAGCCCTGTATTATCAAATATTTGTTTCCTAGGTAGGTACTTATAGACTATAATCAAGTCATCCCGCAACCTTCTTATCAGGAGAGGTGACAGTTTCCACAGGCCCTGGGGCAAGGAGTGGGGGGACTGGTTCCATGCCCGGGAAAGGGCGGGGCCTCAGGCAGAAGGAGCAGCGCCAAGGCAACCAGCCCTCTGTGCCACGCAGAGCACTGTGCTGAATACCTGCCTCTAGCACTACAAGCTGCCGAGAGGGCATGGTGTGGTGATTTAAAGGCCCGCAGGAGCAGTGACTTGGAACCCCAGACCCCTTGACTCACCAGGTGATTCAAAGGAACCTGGGGCTCCCAGCCGCTGCTGCTGCTGCTACTGTGGCACTTTAAATCATCACACTCTGCACTCCAAGTGGCTCTTAGAGCTGGACGGGGGGCGGAGTTGGAGCGGGGGGAGCGGAGATGCAGCAACTGCCCCATTTGCCTTCCCGTCAGCAGGTCTGCTTCTCATGATAAGACAAATACACCAAGTTCCTTACGTCTATCGCTATAAAACATGTTTTCCAATCCTTCCATCATTCTTGCAACTTTTCACTCAATTTTTCCACATTCTCCTTTGATAGTGCACACTAGAACTGTGGGCAGAATATTTTAGTAGCAGTCACATCAGTGCCAAATACAAAGGTGATATAATTTATTATTCTGTATTTCACCTCTTTATATGCTCAGTAATTATATTGGCCCTTTTCACCACATTGATATTTCACTTCTTTATATGCCCAGTAATCGCATTAGCCCTTTATGTCATATGGTCACACTTGAAGCTCACATTCAATTGACTACCATCCATGATACACTGCTTCTCAGAACAGAATTCCCCATTTGATAAGTGCATTCTTTGTTTCCTCGAAGTAGGATTTTACATTGGGCTGTATCGAAACACATATTGTTTGTTTTCACCCAGCGTGACAAGTAATCCATATCACTCTGAATCAGTAACTTGTCCTCTTCATCATTTGTTACTTCCCCAGTCCTTGTGTCATCTGCCAATTTTAACGATAACTCTTTTATGTTTTCTGAAGGGGCATTGATAAAAATTTAACTGGAGCCAAGAACCAATACACCTCTTTGATTTTGATACTTCATTTACAACAACAATAATTCAGTAATGATTTTCTACTCATACGTGATGTGACTATTTAACTAATTAATACTATTTAAAAGTAATTGCAGTTGGCACACCACATCATCATGGATGGATAGACAGATAGATTTACATATTTACTATAGAATATCTTCTTTATAATTTCCATACCTGCAAGTTTCAAATCCAAGTTTGTGAGCTTTCGTCATCTGTTCCATTGTTGGTAAGGTACTATTGAGAGCTCTGCAGAGTTCAATTGACTCATTTCGGGTGAGACTGTAGCGACGGTTTTTCTCAACGTGGAAAACTCCAGCATATCTGCAACTGATATTAAATTCTGTTGATTGAAGAAGAAAGAAATTATTACAAAGATAATACTTGCTATTTCACTGAAACCCTACCAAGATTTCATTGCCAATTACAATGATATTACAGAGAACCATCAACATCCACCAGTTTATTAAGGGAGGATTGCACAATAAATCTGGTGTTCCAAACTACATCCAGATGCTTTTAGTTCAAATACCACAAGAATGTCTAAGAACAGTAGTATACTGTTTTTGTGAAATGGGTAGAATTGTGGGGAACATGAAAAAAGTCATCATAATCAACAACAAAAACAACGACAACAACAAATTGGTGCAGAAGATTTAATGGGACAGATTGCCAAGCTGTTTTAGAAACACATATGTCTGGATAAGTTTTGGCTTCACTGGAAATGTTTGTTAATGAAATTTTCCAAACTCTCCCAGTTAGCAACTAACCTATGAATAAATATGTACTAGTCTTGCAGATTCCTCTAGTTTTTATACAATGCTTTCAAGATTCATCACTGTCATACATAAGCTGCCATTGACATATAAATTACATTGAAAGCACACTGTTTGACTCTTTTTGGCCATACTTCTATATCCAGCCATCCAGGTCCATTTTAAATCTGCTTAAATCCAAATATCTCATTCATAGTGGGAATAAAAAGGAAAAGGTGGAAGTTGATGTAATCTATTGCAAATACCCTCAGTCTCTGTATTAAATGATCTCATTCTGTTCATTTCAGGGTCTTAATTTGTTCATGCAATTGTACATTAAAGGAGAACTAACATCTGAGACTATTTTAGCATCGGCTCAACTAATAGGTTCTTTTGGCATCTGAGGGCAGACCAGTTAGACTAGTTTGATATCAGATGCCACAGCTGATGTAGGAAGCAAGTAAGCAATGTGCTACATGATTTATACCTATAAAAATGCTGAATGCTGAACTTGTTCCAGAGCAAGCCTCCTGCCCTGGGAACAGCTGGGCAGCCACCACCAGCTTCCCCAGGGCTGGAGCTGGCATCAGCTAAAGGTAGGGAGGTAGGGAATGAAGGTAGGCAAACAAGCTCTAAGGAACCACACAGCCAACTAGGAATGGTCAGAATAACCTAACTCACTTTCAAATCACCTGCCCGGTGATTCTGACTCTTTTCTATATGGTTTTATGAGAAATAATCCAATTCCAGGCCTATCTCATTTTCTTGGCACAACCAAACCCTGAACTAGCTTTAAGTTATAAAAAGTGGATGCTATATGCCAGATTAGGTGGTCCTAGGTCATACTGTTTAGGAGGCGATCTTGAACAAACAGACAAACAGACAGACATATGGACAAACTTTCAAATATATAGCAGATTTTAAAACCTAGGCGCTTCTGTTATGTGACAGCTCAGGTAGTCCAAAGCAATATAAGGCTTCTTCCAGACACCCAGCATTTAAATTATAGCAAACTAGTCCAAGTGTGAGTCATTTAGAGCTTCTCTACACAGGAAAAAAGGCTGCAGTGGCTAGTGTGAACTATTCCATACTAGCTCCCCATATGGACACTCTCATTGCTCATTAAGGCTACATCTACACTGCAGCGCTATTTCGGGATACTGGGAGTATCCCGCAATAGCTATTCTGGGTCTTTTGAGCACACCTGTTATTTCAAAATATAACAGGCTCGCTGTTCCGATGTCCCTGTAAACTTCGTTCCATGAGGGTTAAGAGATGTTTTGGAACAGCGCTTTATTTCAAAATTTGGTGCTGTGTAGCTTATTTTGAGGTAAAGGTGCAGTGTAGACACACCCTTAACGTGCAGTTTAGTTCATGTACTTTGGCAATGCCTTAAGCTAAAGTGCACAAATGCACTCTTCGGTTCTAACTACACTTGGAGCTGGGGTGTGATTCCCAGAGCACCTACAAGTATCTGTATTAGCTCTCATCAAGCTAGCAGGCTAACAATGATAGTGTAGCTACAGTAGCTCAGGCAGGGATAGCACTGGAATTAGCCACCCTGAATATATACCCAGGGGGTCCAGATAGGCTTCTATTCAGGGTGGCTATACATGTTACTATTCACCATTGCTTGTGCTGTCACAGCTAGCCTACTCTTTTTAGCACAAGTCCCGCAGTAAGAGCTAGAGTGAGTATGTCTACATGATCTGGAAATCATACCCCTAGCTCCAAATGGAGATATAATTGTAATGCTCAGAGAGAGTATGCACACAGGGACTTCGTGTGGAGTAGCTAGTGTGCTTAAAAATCATAATTTAGCTTGCTGCAAGCCAACTCTTCCATGGAGATAAGCCCTTAGCCTCACTCTCAATTTGATCCAAATTTCTAACAGCCTAATTATACAATCAACAATTCAAACAAACATAAATCTCTCCTACGGGCACCCAGCCTCCCGTATGGTTGATTTTCCACTGACTTCAGAGGTAGGACTTGTGAAAATCAGGCCACTTATTTAGGTCCTTAAATGCGGCTTAGGACCTTAAGTTAAGGCATCTGTTTCTAAAAACCTTGACCATTCCTTTGTCATGGGGGCTGGCAACACTAAGCAAGTAGCACATTCAGTTCCTAAGAAAAAGAAGTGCTTTCAATTGCACTATAGATACTATATCAGCTACTAGTGTAAGGGATACAACCATTCCTCTTTGGCTTGGAAAGATTTGAGGTATGGATGATAAAATGGTGAAAAAAATGTATAATCTGAAGAGTACCTACACACAAAATAAACATACACAATGAAGTGCTTTTGTGTCCACGACAGCTTCTGTTATTGTTTTTTGTGTTAGTCGCTAAGGTGCCACAGGACTACTGGTTGCTTTTTTGACAGTGTGAAAAAAATGTAACAGCTCTGGAAAGTGGGGAAAGACTCAACACACTTCAAAGCAAAAAATAATTAACTCAGCTCTGACCCCACCCTTCCCTCAAGAGGAAACTTGACTGTAGCCCCAGTCTAAAATGATAATCCCAGAGCATGCACAAACTAAATAGTTTGTTCTTTCCAGCAAAGTGCAGAACATGACTCATAGTAACATTAATGGGAGTTCCAACATACATCAAGAACACAGATCCAACCTACTGCATACATTGCAAAGTTGTTACTCTCAGGTGCTTACAAAATTAAAAGGTACCACATCATACACTCTCCCCTATGAGGGCCAGAATGCAATCCCTAAAAATTCACAGAGATACTTTTTATAAATCTATTAGGCAGCCATTTCCCTTTAACTCCCATCTTATGGCATGAGCTAGAGACAGTCAATGTTATTATAGAAACACACATGCACACATCAAAATAAATGGTAGCTATCAAAGGGTGCTGAATAATCACCACTGTTGTATACCACGTATGGAAGCAAGCTGGAAACAAATAAGCAAATGGAACAGTAAATCAGACTCAGACTGTATGGAATGCAAAAGGATTATTATTATTTATACAAGAGTAACTGTCCCATAAGTTTATGTGACACTGACAATATCTCTGACCTAAAGCGTTAAGAATCTCTGGGCTCCATCCTGCAAGCACTACCGATGCAGTGGAACTAAATCATGGTAGCAAACATTGAACCAGGTAGCATATTTCATCTCATGTATAAATTTAGGGGCAAATCGTGGAGACTGGAGGGATAGAGGCAGACAGGATGTGGTTTATAACATCAACGCATTGTGGTTTCTTCAGTTAGACCTGATGCAGGAGAAGGTGGCGGAATGGCAGATCAGTCAGGAAGCAGCTTTGCCCACTTCAGGGGCCCATTTAGAAGGAGGCACATGTACCAGAGTGGAAGATGGAAACAAAGATGGTGGTTTGAGCAGACCTTGGTTAAAGCTGAAGCTGGGCTTGAAAAGAGATGAAACCAGAGCAAAATAGCAGCTAGAGCTGTGCAGAGAACTACAGATCCATTTGTGGAAGGATTCAGAGATTTTGACATCTATCTTCATTCCAGTTCAGAGCTGAACCCAAAATGCATTTTAGTTCAATCTCAGTATTTCATTCCAACCCCTCCCTTATTTCATTTTATATCATAATAAATAATTCAAAATTATAAACATCTGAAACAAACATTGGATTGAAAACAAAAATTCAAAACTTTTCTTCTCAAAATGTCAAAACACGATGCTCCGACACGGTCTGAACATTGTTGTCAGTAAAAGTGACATGATTTTGCCATGTTTCCACATTAACAGACTGCATTCTCTGACAGAAAATGATTCCATGTATGTTTTTGCAAACGGTCTTAATGGTAGCTATGGATGTGTGGGGTTCTGATGGTATGAATGAGAGCTTTTATATGCTGTAGACTAGGAGAAGAAGCAAGTACCATTTTCCACTATGGTTCACAGTGCTTGAATTGTGCTGTGAGGAAAGAATCTGGTTGTCTCCCTTAGTAATGGTAGTCCTAGGCATTACTCCTCCAGAGTGCAGAAACAGAAATAATACCTCCCCTAATGCTCTGTGGCACTGAGTTCAAGACATGTGGCCATAGCCCCCCTCAGTTAAAAAATGCTTCTTTTTGAGTGATCCAGAAAGGTGGTATTGCTTGCCACTTTACCCCTTGTGCTTTTAGGATGTGTTACACTAAATGTGTGTTGCATCACTTTTTAATGACTGGCTCACATAAGCTACATCTAAACTGCACAGTTATTTCAGAATAAACTATTCCAGAATAGTGATTCTGAAATAGCTTATTTCAAAATAGCATGGCTACACTGCAGGAAAGCCTCAAAATTAGTCCGAGGCAGGCTTCCCTAATGTAGAAGTACTATCTTGATTTAGACCCCCGGGAGGAATAATTTAGAATGGCCCTGGTGAGGGCTATTTCAAACTACCAGCAATGGAGCATCTACACACACCTTATTTTGAAATAGCTATTTCGGAATAGGCCTTATTCTTTGTAGAATAAGGTTTACAGAAGTTGGAATAAGCCATCTGTTATTTAAAAATTATTTCAAAATAACAGATTTGCTGTGTAGATGCTCGCGTAGTTTTTTTGGAATAACGGCCATTATTCCAAAATAACTTTGGTGTGTAGAC